TCGGGGCGGTTCTTGTTGTTCTTTTTGACCAAACATTCCCCACTCCATGCATAACCATACGGTGGTTCTTGCGCTGCTACTGCTGCGCTGGACTTCAGCTTCTGCTTCACAGAGAACGGAACATCATCAAGCAATGCTGCACGGGAATCAGACTTTGACTCACCCTTGCGGGTGGCTTCTTTCGCGTCCTTCGGCGGAGGATCTTTATCACGATCAGGACCAAATAGCTCTGGGAACATTTCATCCAGGTCTTCGCTAAGTTGTTCCTGAATTGTGGCTTCATCGTATCCCCCCCGTTCCTCCAGAGGAGGATGCGGGTTTTGCTCATCAAGGACATTGTGATGTTGTGCATCAAGGCTTGGTGGTTTATCCAAGGCAGGCTCTTGCAACAAAGGAAACTTAAAGTCACCATCTGGTAGCTCCAGTCTCTTAGTGCGAAACACACGTAGATCTTCGTTTTCCAACGCGGCTTCGATGTTGTGTAGGGGAGCAACAACGTACTCAAGCTTGAAGATAAAACCAGGTTGGATGTGATACCCAAGGAATATACCTTCAATCCCTGTGCCAGAAAACTTGGATCGTTCAGGCTTGCGTTGCTTCTTCGGGGCCCAGTAGAGGACTTTCGCTCCAAAGGGAATGCGCATGCCGTTGAACTTTTCACCGTACCTGATTTCCCACGGAATCTGACCATTGTCAGTCCTCGCAGTGATGTTAAGACACATAGCATGATGTTGCGATGCAAGAGGCCAATAGCGATCTGGAAGTCCTGATTGCACTAAATTGGCCCGTGTGCCTTCCAAAATGGTTCTGATTTCTCGCTCGATTACGGCCTTGTTTTCGTTCACATACTCCCTAGAAGTGTTGTGACGAGCGCGAAGCTGTCTGGCCGCAAAGTCAAACTCCAACGCATTGTCGGAATATATAACCTTTACCTCATCATCTGTACCAAGGAAGTGCAACATGTCTTCGTAGCACTGCTCACCAGACTTTGTCTTGGAAGGGTACACGTATCTAAACTTAGAATACACGTCCTTCACAACATGAGCCACGGTTTCATCTTGGAACCCGTAATCCTTGGCATCAGCGGTCACGATGTGATCTACTGTGATGTGGTCACCGAACGATTTACTGTAGATTGTAGAGGATCCACCAGATTTCCGCGCCTGAGGCGCATATGTACATCTTGGCCCTTTGGCAAATCGGGCAGAACGGATTCTTTGGTCTATGGGTCAGTCGATGTTCCAAAGACACGGCCTCAGCCCTCAAGGAAGCTTCGTCCTTCTTAGACTTTGGCATTGTGTATGGCTCGACATCGCTGTCGGCTTGCGCCTCAACTTCCCCTTCAGGCAAAGCAAACAATGTGATAGTCGCAATAGTCCCTTCAGGTACTTCCCCATAGATTCCGTCCAATTCGTCAATGTTGACTGAATCCTCCAACAAAGACCACACGTCATCCTTGAATCCCCAAGTAGTCCGGATTCTATACCTCGGGAACTTAGGAGCCGGTGTTCGAAGCGTCTTTGGGAAATGTGCCACCTTAGCAGCGGGGCTGCCGTTGATGACAGTCCAACCTGCCTTTAGCAGTTGCCTCGTTTCCACCCCAGGAATGGGAGGAATGCAATTCGCCATCTTTTCGATGGGATCTTCTGCCGCGCCAGCTGGACCTTCAGGTTCATGTTCGTGCTCTCCCCTAGCTGGTGCGGCGTGCCCTTGCGGGCAGCTGTTTACCGAAAACCCGAACCAGACTTGACAGAGGTCGGTGCAACCTTGCTGCCATCAGATTCTGAGGACTTTGCCGCTAAGCATGCCATCAATGGTCCTCGGTCGCCAAATACGGGGACATTGCCTCGGAGTTGGCAAATCATCTTCTGACCGTCTGGGCAAATGAAATATGGCGCCTCACCCGCTGGCCAGTGGAAAGAGAACCCCTGTTCCATGCACTTCTTTCCTACAGAGCAAACTGCAGGTGTGTTGGGGAGCTCAACGAACTGCAATGGGTTCCTCAATGACTCAATGTAGACCTCATGCTTGGTATCAGCGTCTACTGGTCCGTTAGCAGTGATCAAACTCACTGGGTTGGAAGCAACCTTCTTAGCCTTGCCCTTGAAATGGGCCTCCAAATCAGAGTGACTAATCAGATCTTCCTCGCTACCGGTGTCTGCGATGATTTCGAGGTTTTCACCTGTCACCGCCGCTGCAGCAAGTTGGGGCAGGGGAATTGCTTCTTTGCAGTGCGTGCAGAATCCTTCTCTACCCCGACACCTGTAGTTACACTTGACCCGAACCTTAAGCTTCATCCCGTTCACTGCTGATTCCAAGTGACGGGCATTCTGCAAAGCTTCTTCGGTGTCCTCTGGAATTGATGGTGGGCATAGCTCTGCAGACTTGTACCTGAATTCGTACTTGTGCTTGTCTGGTACGAAGCTCCAACCTTCACCTTCAGGCGGGATGTCAATGAGTTCTGGCCTTAGGAACTGGACCTTTCTGCTTCGGGGCTTTCCGGCAGGGCCCTTGCGGGCTGCTACTGCGTAGGCTTTCCCAGCATCGGCCGATGACTCACCCGTGAGGGTGGCTGTGAGGGAGAGACAGCATGCGGCTGGCTTATCCTCACTCTTTGGCCTTTTCTTACTGGGTCGCCTGCGCTTGCCGGAGGGAGATCTCTTCCCGTCCTTGCCAGCCTTATCGCCTTTGGCCGGGACAGAGGGAGCGGCATCCTTGTGCATGAATGGGCAATTCTTACCGTTCTTGCAGGTGCCTTTGGGGAAAAAGATGCAAGGAATCTTGGAGGTGTCCTTCTTCTCCCCACCTTTACCGCCTTTACCTCCGCCTTTTCTCGAAGGGGTACGTGGAGGTGTTCTGCCCCTTGTCTGTTCAGGAGTAGGCTTCACATGCTTGTATGGGCACTTATCACCTCGTGGGCACTTCCCACGCTGGAAAGCGTAGCAGGGCTTGTCCTGGCTTCGGCCGCGAGGGGTGTTCGGGGTATCGGAAGGAGCAGGGGCGCCAAATCTAGCACCATGAGCTTTGGCGATTGCTGTGCGGTTTTTACGAGTCCTATCTCTTGCCAACAGCTCTTTCACGCATTTGACCAAGTAGTCATAAGTGCGCTGCTCTGTTCCTTCCTTAGCCCTGTCGTAAACTTCCAGATCAAACTTGAGCTTGCTAGCATTGCGAAGCTGCCGAAGTAGAATATCTCTTAGCGTAGTCTCCTCGGGTTGGTGGTTCAACCCCGCGATGACCGACTCCCAATTGTGTATGAAAGTGCTAAGGTCATCACCATTCAACTGCACCTTGAGAAGATCTTCCACAGAGTAGAGGGAACCTGCTTCCTCGTTGGTCTTAAAGTAGTGTTCGAACATCAGTAGAACCTGTCTACCACGAACGGCCCTACCAGCAGCTGCCTCAGACTCTTTGTAGTTAATGATCTGTCGTCCAAGATCACCTCTTGCGACTCTCGAAAGCGCCGAAAGGATCTTTGTATCCAAAGTGAGGAATTTACCCGTGTCCCTCAACTTCTCCGGATCGGCGTCTCTGGAGTAAACCTCTTGAACCCATTTGAATGCCTCATCGGGTCTGTCCGATGCTGCCCGAACGGCCTCCCTAACCGTGATCTTCCAACTCCTGTAAGTCTCCGGGTTAGGGAAGTCGGGCAGCTTCACCGTTTCGGCTTCCTTAGCCTTGGGTTTGTCGTCGTCAGGCTTCTGGATAACCGACTTGAGTGCTTCAGCGAGAAGTACGCTAGGCTCTTTGTTTTCAGTAGCTTCTGCCGGTTCTTTGTTGTCACTCTGTTCAGCAGCAGATACCGCTACGTTGTGGGCCTTTGAATCCTCAGGCTCACCAATGTCATACCGTTGGGTCCTTCCCAAAACCGTCCGAAGCGACACAGGAATCTCCCTGGGGTTCGGAAGGGTCGGAATCCATGAGTGACTAGGACCCTGAACAAGCGGCGCTGCGGCACCACCTTGCGGTGGGCTTGGTTGAAGCTTGGAGCTCTCACTGGGATCGACTTTCACCGGCACGGCACCACCTTGCGGTGGGCTACTCTCCGCTGTCGACAAGACAGTCCTGAGTGAGTCGACCTCAGCTATAAGCTCCGCATTCCTGTCCTGCAGGTCATCAACCAAGCTATCGTACTGCTGTGCCTCAGAGGTTAGCCTATGGTAGTACTCATTCTCTTCCCATTGAAGCTTTTCCTCAAACTCAGACCCTAAAAAGGCAATCATCTCACTGTGGTTTTCTTCGATACTCGAGCGCAATTCCGCGAAACGGCGTTCATGCTGTCTGTTTTCCGCAGTGAGCGTGCGCGCTGCTGCTTCCAGCTCGGACCGATGTGCATCAAACTGCATGGCCATAGACCTTTCATCATGACTTTCCCTTTGTGCGCGTGCCAGCTGTGCCTGCAGCTCGTTGGCTGATTGTCGTTCTGCTCGGGCGATTGTCTCTAGCACTCGTACTTCGTTGTGTAGCTGTCCCACCAACAGGTGTGTGGATTGGCTCACAAATGCTAGCTGTTGACGATGATTCGCATCCGCTGTTGCCTCTAGGTGTGCAATGTATGCGTTGGCTTCGGCGTACACGTTGTCCAATGCAAATCGATGTCTTTGTTCCGCGCGAAGCTCCAAGGCACTTTGAATGCGGGGGTCATTCAAGAACAAGTTCACCTGAGTATTCTCCTGCAACAAATGCAAGAAGTACTTCCTGCTCCTGTCTACCACCAATACCACCGTCACCGTTGTTGCCCGCGGCCGTTGTGAACGGCACGATGTCCATTACGGAGCTAACTACGGCTGATAACCTGAAGTTTCCCAGGCTACCAGCTTGACACGGCTAGTTACCGGTAAGTCAACCCTTGTGACCTTTTTCCACGGGGGACTTGGGCCAAGTGCAATCGCGTACAGACATAGCTAAGGACCATAGGAATAGCAATGGAGGCAGGGTAAAATCTACAGTTCTTGGGAATCGGATCAGATATGATCAGATTCAGACACTCGGGCTCAGGCCGAAAGAGAGATATGGAGCTCCTGGAAAATCGAAGTCGTGGTGCCCAGACCTTGCAACCTTCAGACATGGATTGTGCGGCAACGCGCGCCACCAGAGCGCACTCAGGTGCCTCTTGTGGTGGGAGATGCTAGGAGTCATCTCAAGCCTTGCTCAACCCCGCCTCCGACACAGCTGAAATGGTGGCTTCCAGGGATGCCCAAGGAATCTGAATCTCAATGCTGTCCATGAAGACATCATAGCCAATGCCTGGAGTCGCGCGAAAGCAGCTGCCGACACGTGCACGTGAAAAGCATGTGCATCGTGATTCTGCACGTCTAAGACGGATGACCAAGTTGACGAACGTGGGGCAGGGTCATCGACAGCTGATGCAGGAGCTTGCCTGCTGATCCAGCATGCGCAGTGCGAGCCTGACTTCTATGGCTGCTTCTACCGGTCCTGCTGCGCCCCACGTGCCAGCGTGGATCGCTGCAAGCTGATGCCTGAGATGTCAGAGTGGCGATAATGCCGTGTTTGCCGCTCGACGGTAATCGTACCTTCTTCAAGGTAGGACACGCAGTTAAGACCAAGATCTCAATGGTGCAACCGCGCTGCAGCATGCACTTCTGGGCATCCTCGCATATTCACATGCAAAACTAATAAGCATTATTGTTCTTCTGGCCCAATGCCTTCCTTGTGTGCGACTTTATTTCAATCGACTTATCGAAGCATAAATCCAAGTATCCACTTCTTCGCGAGAGCCTTCGAGGAGGATCTCAGCGGCGACCTGGTGACTCCTGGACGAAGTGAGCACTTCGTGCACCCGAATACCACTCGAAGCCCTTCAAGGGCAGGACGGCAGGGGCCGCAACGAAGAGTGTCGGCCCACTGACTCCTCAGCATGCCCAGTCTGCGACGTATTCAGGACCAGACTGCTCTTCCTGGGACTACCAAGGCCTTGCGTCAGCTCCCTTGCGGACATTCACAATATCCTCCGTCTGAGGCCCGAGTGGCTCCATGGTGCAGCGCCTCTGCCATGTCGATTTGCTTGGCATCGACGAGCCCTCAGGCAGGGGGAAGGGGAATGCAGAAACAAAAAGCACCTGTCCAGACAAGAAGTCGTTGCGATCGAGCAGCAGCACGATGCAGGCCTAAGTGCCTTGGGCAGGCGAGCAACGTCTCGAGCGAAACGCGCCTCAGCTCAGCTGAGCAGACTGTTTTTTTCATCGCCTCGTCTCCCGGCCCGGCCGTTGCGCAAGAGTGCAAGAGGGGCGCTCCCTGCTCCCAGCTCGGGAAAGCAAGGCTTCCGCCCAAGGTCAGCTCTGGCAGAGCATGCACCCGAATGACTGCAGCCTAGCTCGAGCTTGACGGTTACGCTTTGGCCAGTTCCACTTGGTGCGAACACAACTTGCACTTGTGCATCAGAGACACCGTAATAACTCCAAGACATCCTTGACTTCCCAGCAGCAGCCCTCGCAGCTCGAGACTGCTGCCCCCACGGGCCACGAATTTACAAAGCTGGCAGCTGGATCCGCCCTTTGCCTGGGAGTTCCACACCCGTGGATTTCCGACCGCCGCTGGAGATATGTCCTGTCAGTCTTCGAGCTGCAAGCGCACAATGTCACAAACTGGTGCGGTTTTTACGAGGACCGACTGCGAATACTGCAAATCGTTCAGCAATTTTTCTGTAAATCTTCAGCCACTCTGATTCTGCTCAACAGACTTGGGCTCTCCCTACAAACATGAGCTGCCGCCAGAATCCCCGACAACGCAAGCCCCTCCTTTTGCAGGGCATGCGGGATCGGACTGCTCGTGCCTGGCCCCATCTTTTCCATCTTTACTCACTAGCCCAGGGGCCTATTCAGGCGTTGTGAATTTGTGAAGCTTGTTGCTGCCCTGTGGGTAAATGCAGCTGGAGAACTTCAAGTGCCCGCCATGCTGCCAAAGCAACCCAGATGATGTCGCGACGCGAATCTGCACAGGATATCGGAGGAAGCATATTTGTGCCTGGTGCCTCACAGACCTGGAACCTGGTCTGTAATAACATCAATGTCGGGATTCAAAAGAGATCAATCGCACCTCTACCAGTGCCTCCTCGATGTCACCTGCCACATCACTGCGTGCGCTACCCCAAGCCAGAAACTGCTGCGCCCGAGGCCCAACATCAATTGCGACCGGAGCTCCGTAACGGGCTTGTTTGAGACCCGTGGCGCGACTCGCCACCCAGCCACCCAGTGTTGAGCGCTCCCAGCACAGAGGTTCCAGGCCCATGGTCAGGCCTTCTCCTCAGCGGGGCCAAGAAGATCTGGTTATCAAAATCCCGACGCGACGATCGGATGATTTTACAGCAGTTTAGCACGCCGGGCGTCGCAACAAAGCATCGTTCAGAGCTTGGCCGGTGATGCCGGCTTCAAAGCATGCCAGTCCATCCTCTGGCTTAACCCAGAGCATGCGCTTCATTTCGAGCATATCCACCGCTACCACCGGTCGAGACTCCTCCTCCCTAGAAGGGCACAAAGTCGACGATGTTACATTCGTACCGCCAGCCACAGGTATCACCAAGAAGCCACGGGGATCATTGTGACCATGCGCGGCCGCAGCCTTTAGCAGAGCGCACACGTCGTCCTCACTGCGAGGATGAACGACAGCATCTGGCATCCGTGGGAGTGAGGCACCAGTATGCAGGCTCCACATGTCTGCAAGGCTCTGACCAGTTCCAGCCCGAATACGTGCCTGACTTGACAGGGAGACCATCTCGGCGTCGAAAGTGTTTCTCAGCGAATCCAGCAATCCCGGAGGAGGTGGGGGAAGGTCGAGAGCATCCTTGGCATCCATCTCCGCACGCTTGGCCAGAGAGACGCGGAGCTCACGTTCCAGAAATGACCAGAGCTTGCGGTGCCCAGCAGGACCTTCGAAGTACCTCGCAACGCAGACGACGTACGTGGTCCTTTACTTCGCACCTTCTCCGACTCACAACATGAGATCTCCTGAAATCCTCAATTTGCCTGAAATTTGGCCACCTTGTTTCCACGAAGCTCCAGCTGTCCGGCGCAGGTTTGGCACTCGCACCGTCACCAGGCCACAGCGGGCGGACCTCCGTGTGCCATGCAGGGCTGCCCGAAGCCACACCAGGAGAAACGATGTCAAAGGCATCACCACTTGCTGTGAGAAGGGACCACATGTCTGTTGCAGTCCACATCCTGTCAAAATGCGGGCACTGACATGACGAGGGAAAAACCTCTCGGATTGCTAGAGGCTGCTAGATCTCTTACACTTTCGTGAGAAAGAGAGAGCGGGCCTGCCCGGACCCGGTTGTGTTTTGAATTCCGGCAGGTCCAGCAGCCTCGCAACATCCCGATCCAAAACACACACACACACACACACACACACTTTAATCTAGCTGCAAGTCTCGGTATTTCGTGGTGTGGCACAAGTCGTAAAGCTAAAGGACTCGTGATGGCAGCTGCAGCCTGGAATCCCGAATGAACATGTCAATGCATCTTTTGTCACATCTCCGAGAGCAAGAACAGAAAACGGCTTCCTCTTTGGAACCTCTGCTTCTCGCTTGACAGCTGGTGCCCGGAACAGCCAGTCCTCGATCAGAACATAATCCAGATCTTGCAACTCATCCAACATTTCCAGTGATGCCTCAACGGTATTGACGATAGGCTTGCCTTTGGAGTTAAAGCTTGTGTTTATAAGCGCAGCGAGACCAGTGAATTTAGCAACGGCCAGCAGAAGAGCATGTACCCAAGGCTCGTCGGCACGGCTGACAGACTGATGACGGGCTGTACCATCAACGTGAGCAATTGCTGGGAAGCGCTTCCAGATCTCACTGCGCACCGCTGGGGCAAACTCCATATAGGACGAAGTGTACTTGAAGCCGAAAACTTCTTCTAAAGCCTCTTCTGCAATCATCGGGGCTACAGGCCGATACCACTGCCGGGCTTTCAAACGATTCATACGATCGCGCATGTAGTCGGAGTCTGGTACCGCCAATAAGGATCGGTGTCCCAAAGCGCGGGGCCCGAACTCCTGTCTCCCGCGCACCACCGCAATGATCGGCCTCTCTCCGGCTGGCCCGCCGGCCAAGAGCTCGGCGAGGTATTGAACACCTCCGAGCTCTGACAATCTCTGAGCCCCTCGCTTCTGTGCTTCCTTTTCGAGCGTCTCCAGATCCCAGAGCTGAAAACCTAGATATTGCAGCGGTTGACGAGGGCCTGTTGGTGGTGACACCGCCCAGATGGCTCCCACGGTCAATCCGGAGTCGTTCGGCGCCGGAGGCACGTAAACATCCCTCGGTCTTGTTAAGACTGGCTGCGATGCCTTGACTTCTGTCAACGTGTCGCGTACTAGTTGATTTGCGACCACGTTGAGCGCACATCCTCCTGTGAGCACGATCCCTTCAACAGTAATACCTTTCATCTGCAGAGTTTGCAGGTAGTCTTGGATGATGGGGTGCATTACGCGCTCAAATTCCGCTTGAATCGTGGCCGCAAGAATGCGTTGACTCTCCGTGCCTTCACACACTTTGACCAGAAAGGCTCGTGGCACTCTGTCTTCCCCTATTGCCCATCGATGGAAGTACTCGCGAATCCAGGGTCCGATTTCCGGCGAAGGCTTCGCCAGGCCAGAGTATCCCATTAGCTTGCCTGCGAAGGCGACGAAAACATGGACTGGAAACAACATCGCCAGCTCAACCCAATCACCGTCCTCCTCCTCTAGCCTCTCACACACCAGGTTTCTTGTTTCGGGATATCCGTTGACCTCATGTAAGAAGCTAGCGAGCTTGTAGTATCCTGCACCCAAGTTGAGCGGTTTCCGACCGATGCGATGAAGCTCAAAGCCTTTACCCAGAAAGGCATTGAACACACCGTCGTTGCCACCGCCATCGTACGACAGAACGAAGGCAGAGCGAAACGGCGAGGAAAAGAATCCCATCAACGCATGTGCCTCATGGTGGTTTACATTCCGCCACTCGCGAACACGGAAAAAACGTTCTACAATATTTGGCAGATCCGCATGCTGCATCGACACATCTCCTCCGAAATTCACCATGATGCCAAAATCGAAGTTCGTTGGACATGACCCATCCTCGCACTCGCAACTCTCATATACTGTCTCCAGGGCCCTGTGCCAGTGGAAATGGAAATGATCAATTTTGGGAATGAAATATCTATCCTCAAACAGTCTTTCTAACTCCAAAACACACTGGATTCGGCCACCCTTACCAACGGCGATGGAGCCATCATGACCGGCATGCAGGGCGATCACCGTCTTCTCCTTGACGTGAAGTGCCTCTGGAAGGCTAAACTCTTTATGCACGCGACGTGTCAAAGGAGATCCGAGCTCCTTCGTCGCGTTTTCGTCTTTCCCAGCACTCAATCGGTGCCTGGAGCGGCGAGCCGCTTTGATTGCCAGGCCCGAGGCGTTGGTGGTCCAAAGGCCCGGAGAGTCGCGGCCTATTGGGAAGCCGACATCACACGGAGGATACACGTCTGTATCGCAGAACTTCTCGAGCTCTTCACCGCCCGCTGCCGAAGCCCAGCACAGCCACAGAACATACCGAGATGCCATGCGGAAAACAGTGGCAGAAAGAGGATGCTACATAAGTGCAAAGCGCTCTATCCGCCACCTTCAGCGCGAGAAGGGGAGGCTTGCTACAGAAAGATAAAGCTTTATCTGGCTTCAGATGTGGTCACGGGTGGGGCTAGGACTAGGAATTCCGCCTGAGAGACGGTACTTTCGCATGTCAATTGTCGGAGCCGGCAATGAAGGCATGAACACCTGCGGAAAACTTGGCCCGACGCCGGGTCGAAAACGCGATCAAACTATAAACCCTAAACACCCGCGCCCTCAGCCCAAGCCTGTCTTGGAGCGCTGCCAGCCAAGGCCTCACAAGCAGAGCAGTCGTTTGCACTCCGCAGAAAGGACAAAAAAGTTCATTGGTTGCAAAGCTTGTGTGGATGTGACTCTTCGAAAACCGAAAGCTGCACTTCTGAACAGCATCTCAAAGCCGCCTGCCCTGCCAACCCGGAAAACCCTGCTGGCCATCTGTCCTCCGGAAGAAGTCCCGGAGCTCTGAAAGAGCTTTGCAATTCTGCTCAGAACTGTAGAATCAAGGTGACATTACAAAGCTGAACGCAAAGCTTCTACTGTTTCTTAACTTCCGCGCCTGTCGTCAGAAGCTTGGAGTAACGGTTCCGTCGCGCCAGCCGACACAGCATCCGCAGCTGTAGCAGTTGCAGCTTGCCTTCTCCAGCCAGGTACGAACTCGTCCGCCAGCAAGCAATAGCAACGTTTCGCTTCCGTGGCACTCATGCTGCCCAGCTGAGACCAAGCGTCCCACTTCGCCCTTGCAACCTGGTTGAATATGCTGGGCCTGGAACCCTGCGCAGGTCCCATGGTGGCTTGCTTGTAATGTGCATAGAGCTTCAGTTTGCTTGCGTCGTCCAGCGATGGCAGCGATTTCACTGCTTCCTGCGCAGCTTCGAAGAGACTGTCCTCATCGTAATTTCGGAGGACTGCTCTGTCCGTCTGTTGCTCTTGCACGGTCTCTAGGGTCTGGGATGCATCGGCAGTTTCCAACGCCTCACGCCAGCCAGGTGCGAACTCGTCCGCCAGCAAGCAGTAGCCACGCTTCGCTTCCGTGGCACTCATGCTGCCCAGCTGAGACCAAGCGTCCCACTTCGCCCTTGCAACCTGGTTGAATATGCTGGGCCTGGAACCCTGCGCAGGTCCCATGGTGGCTTGCTTGTAATGTGCATAGAGCTTCAGTTTGCTTGCGTCGTCCAGAGATGGCAGAGATTTCACTGCTTCCTGCGCAGCTTCGAAGAGACTGTCCTCATCGTGATTTCGGAGGACTGCTCTGTCCGTCTGTTGCTCTTGCACGGTCTCTAGGGTCTGGGATGCATCGGCAGTTTCCAACGCCTCACGCCAGCCAGGTGCGAACTCGTCCGCCAGCAAGCAGTAGCCACGCTTCGCTTCCGTGGCACTCATGCTGCCCAGCTGAGACCAAGCGTCCCACTTCGCCCTTGCAACCTGGTTGAACATGCTTGGCCTGGAACCCTGCGCAGGTCCCATGGTGGCTTGCTTGTAATGTGCATAGAGCTTCAGTTTGCTTGCGTCGTCCAGCGATGGCAGCGATTTTACTGCTTCCTGCGCAGCTTCGAAGAGACTGTCCTCATCGTAATTTCGGAGGACTGCTCTGTCCGTCTGTTGCTCTTGCACGGTCTCTAGGGTCTGGCATGCATCGGCAGCTTCCAACGCTTCACGCCAGCCAGGTGCGAACTCGTCCGCCAGCAAGCAGTAGCCACGCTTCGCTTCGGTGGCACTCATGCTGCCCAGCTGAGACCAAGCGTCCCACTTCGCCCTTGCAACCTGGTTGAATATGCTGGGCCTGGAACCCTGCGCAGGTCCCATGATGGCTTGCTTGTAGTGCGCATAGAGCTTCAGTTTGCTTGCGTCGTCCAGCGATGGCAGCGATTTCACTGCTTCCTGCGCAGCTTCGAAGAGACTGTCCTCATCGTAATTTCGGAGGACTGCTCTGTCCGTCTGTTGCTCTTGCACGGTCTCTAGGGTCTGGGATGCATCGGCAGTTTCCAACGCCTCACGCCAGCCAGGTGCGAACTCGTCCGCCAGCAAGCAGTAGCCACGCTTCGCTTCGGTGGCACTCATGCTGCCCAGCTGAGACCAAGCATCCCACTTCGCCCTTGCAACCTGGTTGAACATGCTTGGCCTGGAACCCTGCGCAGGTCCCATGGTGGCTTGCTTGTAATGTGCATAGAGCTTCAGTTTGCTTGCGTTGTCCAGCGATGGCAGCGATTTTACTGCTTCCTGCGCAGCTTCGAAGAGACTGTCCTCATCGTAATTTCGGAGGACTGCTCTGTCCGTCTGTTGCTCTTGCACGGTCTCTAGGGTCTGGGATGCATCGGCAGTTTCCAACGCGTCACGCCAGCCAGGTGCGAACTCGTCCGCCAGCAAGCAGTAGCCACGCTTCGCTTCGGTGGCACTCATGCTGCCCAGCTGAGACCAAGCATCCCACTTCGCCCTTGCAACCTGGTTGAACATGCTTGGCCTGGAACCCTGCGCAGGTCCCATGGTGGCTTGCTTGTAATGTGCATAGAGCTTCAGTTTGCTTGCGTCGTCCAGCGATGGCAGCGATTTCACTGCTTCCTGCGCAGCTTCGAAGAGACTGTCCTCATCGTAATTTCGGAGGACTGCTCTGTCCGTTTGTTGCTCTTGCACGGTCTCCAGGGTCTGGGATACATCGGCAATCTGGAGTGCTTCCCGCCAACCAGGAACGAACTCGTCCACCAGCCAGCAGTAACCACGCTTCGCCTCTGCAGCACTTATGCTGCTCATCTGGGACCACGCGTCCCACTTCGCCCGTGCTACCTGATTGAACATGCTTGGCCTGGAACCCTGCACAGGTCCCACGGTGGCTTGCTTGTAATGTGCATAAAGATTCAGTTTGCTTGTGTCGTCGAGCGATGGCAGCATTTTGACTGCTTCCTGGGCAGCTTGGAAGAGACGGTCCTCATCGTAATTTTGGAGGACAGCTCCGTCCGTCTGTTTTTCTGGCACGGTCTCTGGGGTCTGGGATGCATCGGCAGTTTCCAACGCCTCACGCCAGCCAGGTGCGAACTCGTCCGCCAGCAAGCAGTAACCACGCTTCGCCTCTCTAGCACTCATGCTGCTCATCTGGGACCAAGCGTCCCACTTCGCCCGTGCTACCTGATTGAACATGCTAGGCCTGGAACCCTGCGCAGGTCCCATGGTGGCTTGCTTGTAATGTGCATAGAGCTTCAGTTTGCTCGCATCGTCCAGAAATGACAGCGCTTTTAGCGCTTCCTGCGCGGCGGCAAACGCTTCATCTGCATCGTCCATTGCCATCGCAAACCGACAGCAGAACGGTTAAGTGCAGGTCGAACATCGAACACCCAAACTTGACTTGATGTGCGGTAACGTAGCATACGACACTCTCCTGCACGGCACTGAGAGATCTCAAGCTATGCTTCTCATGTTCGGTCCCAGTGCTTGGGCTACTCCTGGAGCCTGGGCCAGGCTCTACCGCATCACCAAATATTTCAAGAGCTTGCTGCGAACTACCCGCGGTCGTCAAATCCAGCAGCAGTCACCGGAGTCGTATCTGTACTGTCAGTCCTTTTTTGCATAGCTGCGGTGAAACTTTGCTTAGCTGACAAGCTGCCCTTCGTCATGCCTCCGGCCTGCACAGGTTTGTAACCGCATGGAGTCTGTTCGATTCCAGCCCTACCCTTCCAAAGCAGCAAAGATCTTCAGCACAGTCCACCTTGGCGGCCTTCGCAATCTTTGCAACCTCTGCAGTCTCTTCGACATGCACAAAGCAACTGTTGATTGATGCAACATGAGACAGCGACAGTGACAGTGACAGCCCTACATGCAAGCCGTGAGCCTATGCCGGAAGTGGCTGCGGCAGCGAGTTGAAGTTGCAGGTGGATTTTGGTATCCACCTCGCAGAGAGCTAGCTGCGAGGCAGATGCACTACTCACAGAACTGAGTGCATCTGGCCGGTTGGAGACAAACTACTGTAAGTAGAAGAACGTCTCGTGAGAGCGTGAACATGTGACCTACTCAACCACCTTTTAATTGCTCACCGGTACCACAGCGCTACCAACACACATGCAATGCGCTTGCTTCCCGAACCTGGGTATCGGTATAACCATTAGACGCAGCTGCACGCAAGATACATCGCAGCCGACTGTTGGCCTCAAGCGATCTAGCCATCTCCGCCAGAAAGGTCTTCGCGAAGCAGTTGACTCCACCTGAGCCAATTTGAAGCGCAGCCGGATCTGCATCCGTTTCCAAGAACTCTGCCCCCCCCCAAGGCACGGGCTGACATAAAGCTCCCAGAGTTCAAAGAGTGGAAGCTGTTGTTGCTGAACTGCCTTCTTGACAGAATCCGTAAGGCAACGGCAGCCCTGGCCCTCCCCTGGCCCCTCGCCTGCTCAGCTGCATCACGAACCTCATGGAGCCGCTGTGCGAGTGTCAGTTGCTTTCGGCTCTGCTTTCTTGGTGCCACTTTGGGGTCCAGACCCGTCGGGGGCATTCTGAAAAACCTTAGCAGAGACAGAGAAAGCAAAGCAAAGCCGGGACGACAGGGCCCGCAGTCGCAAATGAGTCGAAGGCATAGCGTTGAAAGATTGCAGGTGCAATCGAGACCTCGGAATTTCGACCATTGACTCATTGACCCAATGGATGCTGCACAGAATAGGCTCTTCCAAATCCCAAGTCTTGGACAACATTGCTCCAACCCATGAAGTCAAAGTAGTAGCGCTTCTTCGACTCCAAGTGCCGCCTGAAATCGCACAGGAGCAGCCAGAAGCACGAGGCAAGAGGAACTGAGCTCTTAAGCTGTAGCCGAGGCACGGGTCATCACTTGTCTGATCATGACCATCAGGTAGGTCATACATGCAGACGTGGATGGGAAAATCCTGCTTATCCCACAAATCATTTTTGGCATGCACCCAACATGCACAGCTCCTGCATGAAATGATCGAGGCTGACTCTGGCTCCCATTTTCAATTGCCAATTCAGCCTCAGCAAGATCTCTCTAGGCATGAGAATGCTGGGATGCTAGGCTCAAATGGAAAGTATCTGTCTTGACCAGTGGCACGTCGAGAAATGGCGCGGGCCCCCACAACCTGAAGGTGTAGGTGTCCTCGAAGTGCAGCATGCATGCAAGGGAGCCAGAACAATGGAACCCGAACTTCAGGTGTCCTGCGTGTTGAGGGAGCTCTCGACCTCTTGAACCATGCGGCTGTATTCGGCCAGTCCTCGTGACAATCTGACAGAAACATGTCCCCGGGAGCTGCATGGCGTCGCACCTACGTCCCGGCGCATGAGGCTCAGCCTGAGCAATTGGCAAAGTGCTGTAGGCGGCATTTGGGGACTTTGCCTTTGGGGCTCCTGCCCGTAAACATCGCTAGGCTCGTCCAGGTCCGAGCAGATGGGAGGAATTGGCCTCGTGCAGTGCTCGTTCAAGTGGCAGCGCAGGAACTCTGACCTTTTGAGAACAGAAACCACTCTCGAACCTGCTCGCCGGAGTGATGATGATCTGGTCGAACACCGTCAGATCCCTTGTGTAGCCATGCGGCTGGACGAAGAGCTTCCAAGTCGTTTGTCTGTTTCTGCGAGCTCCAGGCGAAACAGCGTGGCCGAGCTCCGCGTCTGGTTGGAGAGCCTCCTTGCAAAGCAGACTTGGAGGCTCCTGCGGTACAAGGCCACTCATCGGGCCTTGCAGCGAGCGCCCCACGAGAAGTATATCCTGTCATCCCACATCGTTCAGATGCAGTTGCCAGACACGAAGCTGATATGCATCCCGCTCCTGTAAGTATATTTCACCAGCGTGATGGCCGTATTCATCGCAAGGATGGATGTGGAGGCCACTGGCTGGTCCTACAGTGCTACGTTGGGTGCTGTGGCAACTCTGGCTGTGGCTGTGTGCGCATGTACCCGCACAAGTGTCATCGATTCTTCGACATGATTTACATGATTTGAGGCCACCGCATAATTGAAATCACGAAGAACCGCTCCAACATAGAGCCTGCCCCTAGGAGCCTGCCAAGCGGTGCCCTCTTCATGATCCAACTCCGACGGCAAGAAGCTTGCCTTCTTGAACTTGCCCTGTAAGCGAAGCTCCCATCCGCGCTTACGCGACCGGAAGTGGTCGTAGTAAGGATGCCCACGATCTAGCCTTGAAAGCTTCGGCTCTGCCATGAAGCCTTTCTGTCTCATTGCGCTTTGAAGCAACATCCCATTCGTGATGACTTCTGCCTCCGGCTGCACAGCGACATGCTGACCTTCCGAGAGTCTGGCCCCTCCGTTGGTCGGTACAGCAGCAGCACTTTCCCGACAAAATTGTCATTTTCGATCGGGATGGCTGCGGTCCTCGGAGCTCCACGCTGGAGGGATTTGGAGGGCTTCTCTTCATTTCTCTTCAACTGCATTAGTGCCCTTCGATGCGCTTCGGCTGTCCGCAAAATCCGAGCACTGCACGTGTTGCATGGCAGGAAGTTTGCGCGTGGCAACCTGAACAGTTGCTGCTGGTCTTTCCTCGGTCCACTCTATCCCTCCGAGCTAAGTTGTCTGTTGTCGCTGACAGAGCTACTAGTACAGCAAAGGGAAAGGGAGAGACTTTCCCAGGCAGGCGGCCTACCGCAGCCCCCCCCCTCACCAACATGTAATCGAATGAGAATGGGTCTCTCCCTTCGGCACACACAATGCAATGCATGAACTGCCACGCCCACTCCTGAAAACGCTGACGAGACCCTCGTCCCACCGAGTGAGTCATGCAAACTTGAACTTTCACCACCCACGATGGAGCTTTGAGGCTGTGCTCACTGTCGCATCAGATTGCTATACACAAGTCCATCAATAGCGAGGCTGCGATCCCCACCTCGATCCGCTGCTCGTGCCATATCCATTTGGGTCAGGCACGATCGAATACCTGAGTCTCACACACAGGATTCTAGATGGACTTTCGCAACCTATGACGATGCCGTTTACGGGGAACCGCCGAATGCCTTACAAGAAAGGCTCCGTCCTTGCGGCAACAAGCGAAGCTCAGCACGCTGGGCAGCGGACGCCAACAGATGCTCCTTCCCTGGTAAGCCTGCGATATGGCGGCCTTGCAGACTGATGACTGCAGAGCAAGGAAAGACACTGCCGCTGCTGCAAGTCTCGAGACAGGGCCCGTGCGCACGACACTTTGGCTCTGGGCAATCTGGCCGTCCCTGGAAAGCTCCTTGTACGGGGGATAGGCAGCTTTAATTCGAAAGAAAACTGCCACGAGTGGCTACAGCATTTGAGATTTGTGATGTGGAAGCACGGGCAAGGGAGGCCTCGACTGCCGCTGCCGGTACACGAGGCCTGAAAAAGAAGCACGTCGCATCGTAGCGTGTCTTCGGAACGGCGGACTCACGCACCGGCACGACGGATTCTCGAAGTTCTAAACCGAAGATAATCCATCATCCCCTACTTTCGTAGGAGTACCACCTATACTATGATGCGATGTGCGGTCATGTCTAGTCAAGCCTCGACTGTAACAAGGCGGTCCACCACAACCCACCACCAAGGGACGGGCGGGAGGGAAAAGAAAGACACCAATAGAAAACCAAACCAACACACTGCACACGCCGTACACCGGCCTAGATCCAAAATGGCATGTTCGGGCACCTTAATTAATGGAGATGCGGGGCGAGACAAATTAGTGCGGTAGGACGAAAGTTTTACCTACTCCTTGCTGCGTCGAACTCAGGCCCCCATTCCCACACAAATCTGAACAAACAGGACGGGGCATAAAATTCTCTGCTGGCCAGGCCACATAAATCGCACTTTTTCGGTACCCCGCTACTCTGCAAGACATCTTAGGACAAGAAAAGTCCAGTAGGACAAATGTCCTCTATGTAAACGAGCCGACAGAAATGAATGGGGAGTTGTGCTGGTAGAAACCAGTGAAGCGGAACGCGAGATAGTAAACCCTAAACCCTAGCAGATCCGAGATGCGGGGTGGGAAACTCGCAACCCCGGAAAGGACTAGGATCGCGAAGTAGTAAACCCCAAACCGGCCCAAGCCCAAATAAAATCGAGATGCTGGCTGGGAAAACCGTGAACCCAAAAAGGAGGTGAGCGCAAGACCATCGTCCGACAGAAGTAGACAGGGAGCTGCAGGGATGGAACCACAAAGCAGATCGCGAAGTAGTAAACCCCGAACCCTCATGTTATCGACACGCGGGTGGAAAAAGCCTAAACTCGAAAAGCTGAAAAGGAGACGATCGGATCACGAAGTAGTGAACTCCAACAAAATCGACCTGCAGGGTGGGAAAACCCTAAGCCCGACAAGTTGAAAAAAAGATGAACACAAGACTATAGTCCACCAGAAATAATGGGAAGCTGCGGGAGTAGACCGAAAAGCAGCAAACCCCAACACAATCGAGATGCAAGGTGGGAGAACCCCAAAACCCGAAAAGTTGTAAAGGAGATGAGTGCGAGACCAATCGTCCAACAGAAATAGAAGGGAAGTAGACCCAAAAAGCAGATCGCGAAATAGTGAACAGCGAACCCCAACAAAATCCTAAACCCAAGACCACCGTCCAACAGAAACAATGGCTGCGAAGGTAGACCCGAAAAGCAGATCGCGAAATAGTCAACCGCGAACCCCAACAAAATCGAGATGCAGGGTGCGAGAACCCTAAACCCGAAAAGTTGAAAAGGAGACGAGCGCAAGACCAATCGTCCAACAGAAATAGAAGGGAAGTAGACCCAAAAAGCAGATCGCGAAATAGTGAACAGCGAACCCCAACAAAATCCTAAACCCAAGACCACCGTCCAACAGAAACAATGGCTGCGAAGGTAGACCCGAAAAGCAGATCGCGAAATAGTCAACCGCGAACCCCAACAAAATCGAGATGCAGGGTGCGAGAACCAAAGGAGACGAGCGCAAGACCAATCGTCCAACAGAAATAGAAGGGAAGTAGACCCAAAAAGCAGATCGCGAAATAGTGAACAGCGAACCCCAACAAAATCCTAAACCCAAGACCACCGTCCAACAGAAACAATGGCTGCGAAGGTAGACCCGAAAAGCAGATCGCGAAATAGTCAACCGCGAACCCCAACAAAATCGAGATGCAGGGTGCGAGAACCCTAAACCCGAAAAGTTGAAAAGGAGACGAGCATATGAGCATAGATGAGCGCAAGACCATCGTCCAACAGAAAGAAATAATGGGGAGCTGCGGGCGCAAACCCGAAAAGCAGATCGCGAAAGTGTGAATCCGAAACCCTGGAGAAACCTAAACCCGAAAACTTGAAAAGGACATGAGCGCCCAACAGAAAGTGGTTAGCTACGGGGCTAGACCCGTGAAGCAGATGGCGAAGTAGTAAACCCCAAACCCCAATAAAATCGGGATGCGGGGTCGGAAAACCCTAAACCAGAAAAGTTGGAAAGGAGAGGAGCACAAGACCATCGTCCGACAGAATTAAATGGAAGCTGCGGGGTTAGACCCGTAAAGCAGATCGAAGTAGTAAACACCAGACCCCAACAAAAAGAGATGCAGGGTGGGAGAACCCTAAACCCGAAAAAGTTGCAGAAGAGATGAGCGCAAGACCATCGTCCAACAGAAATAATGTAAACCTCCTATTTATAAACTCGCCCCTCAATTACAAAACCCCACCCCCGGAACTCAATTACAAACCCCCCCTCAATTACAAAACCCCCCGGCCCAAATCCCCGAAATTAGGTACTTGTTGTTCTGTCTTGTGAGAGAGAGAAAGAGAGAGAAACTGCAGCTACTGCGACAGCTTCAGGTCTGCAGAGAGAGAGCAACTGCAGCTACTACGAGTGCTTGAGGTCGGCAGAGAGAGAGAAACTGCAGCTACTACGACTGTTTCAGGTCTGCAGAGAGAGAGAGAGAGAGAGAAACTGCAACTACTGTACTACTGTACTACTGTACTAATGTACTATTATGATACTATACTACTGTACTACGACGACCGACCCCCCCCTCAATAGTCAATCCCCCCACCCAGGGCACCAAATCAATCGGGGGGGGAGGGGGTATTATTAGGAGGTTAACATTACAGGGGAAGCTGACGGGTAGACCCGAAAAGCAAAATCGAGATGCAGGGTGCGAGAACCCTAAACCCGAAAAGTTGTAAAGGAGATGAGGGCAAGACCATCGTCCAACAGAAATGAATTGGAAGCTGCGGGCGCAAACCCGAAGAGCAGATCGCGAAATTATAAACCCGAAACCCGAAACCCTAAAATGAGCGCGACGCGGGGTGGGAGAACCCTAAACCCGAAAAGCTGAAAAGGAGAGGAGCGCAGGGTAGACCTGTAAGCTTTTAACCTTGATTTGATCGACGGTACAGCTGCAACCCGAAAAGGAGATGATGAGTTTCAGACCTCAATCAATCAGGAATAGATTGGGAGTTGGGGTGTGGCAAAGAACCGGTGGTGAGAAAGCCTCACCTAAAATGGAATGCCTTCGGTGGGAAACCCCAAACCCGACAAGGATGCGAGATCCTAGTGCAATCGCAAAGCAGCTCGGGAAGTAGTGAACCCAAACTCAAAAAGAAGATGAGAACAAGGGAAACCCTGAACCAAAAAGAAGATGATGAAAGTGAAATCTTACTTTGGGAACTCCAGTTGGAGGCAACTATACATGGCAAACCCCGACAGCAACAGGAGATGGACGTGATGAGTGCCAAATCCCAAACAACAGCAGGAGATGGCGGTTGCGAAAAGTGGTTGCTGGAACCTCTGATGCTTGTACAGCTGGTGCCTGAATCGGTGGAGGCTCGGGTCGAACTCGCGTTGCTACTTACTGAAAACAAACACAGACAGCACATAAAGGGGTACAAAAAGAAAAGGCTGCAGAGGGCTCGGGGGTTGGCTGTTACTCTCGGTCCACGTTCTGAAGTGCTAATCACACCAATGTGTTCTGGGCTGCTCGACGGGTTTGGAACCGGGCCGACCTGGAGGTCCGCTGACACGAAGACGACCAGAGAATGTCCCAAAATCCCGAGCCGGGATGGTATGGAACCACCTGAGCAGTGCAGAGCCTACAGCCGTCCCACAGCAAGCCCACTTGCGACCTGAACTTTTCGACATCTTCTCGTGGCTGGACACGGCGCACTGCGCACTTGAAGGTCTGTGGAATGCCCACTGGTTCTCACTAGGCAGCGACTGCGCTCCCGAGGCTGTGACACTGCTTTCGGCATTCTCGTCACCACGGTTCACGCAGCACTGCCTAGTGCTGCGAGCTGCTGTCTCCCACATTGCAGACATACTGGCAAAATCTGCATAACTTGCGATGACAGAAAAACAGCTTTTCAGTCCACGGCATGACCGTGGGAGCCTGAATCGCCCCAAGGCCTCATGGAGGCTACGGGAATGAAACTCAGCGCGTATCTCTCATGCTGGCCGTGATGTCTAACAAAGGACCCTCAACGATGGGAACAGCACAGGCATGATTTGCTCACTAAGTCGACTTAGCTTCAATGTTGTTCACTAAGCGGTTCCTGGCTCCTGAGCTTTCCACGAGGGTGCAGCGAGAGCGGGCGCGCACCAGCGCGCTCGCAGCGCTGACAAGTTCCCTCAGATCCCCGCCATGGGCATCTCTATTCGAAACGCTTTTGTGTTTGTGCTGTATAGAATGTTCAGTTTGCACGTAGCTGTATTGGAGTCTGATGCGGGCACAAGCGCTCAGCCTGGCTAGTGGTTGCGTCCTGGCCGAAACCACAAACTCCGGCTCCGGCGCGCTGCGAGTTTGGCACTTGGGATCACTTCAGGTCACTTGATGCTGCTCCTGGCTAAATGATGTAGTCTTCATTCTTGCTTCGGCACGGCAACATCTCGGAGCCAAGAGGATCAAGTGGAGCCCAGTCTGTTCAGAACAGAGACGGGCCTCATATGTTCCGTCGACCCTCGCTCAACAGCATGCACTTGCTCAGCAATGGGAAGCTGGGAAGCCTGAAAGTAGAGAACAACAAACCTCTTCAGAATGTCGACCCGCATGTGGACAAGCGAGAATCGGCACGAATGCAAGCCTTGTCGAGCTCGAGCCTTTGCACTCCTCGCAAGTCTCTGGAGGTCTCCACGACCCAGGGCGCTACGCGTAGGCTGCACGAAAAGTGGCGAGTGTTCTCATCTCTGTGTGAGACCAGCAAACACGATGGATCTGCAGGAAACTTACCATGCCACTTTCACACCACGTTTTGCCACTGCCACCACCATAAGCGTCGAAAACTGATGGCAGAACAGCACCAGCTCATGGCAAACAACGGAGCTCCATGACTTGCTTTCTCTCCAACCGCACTATGGTCTGATATAAGGAGCTCCGGTTTAGCACATCGCCTGCTGGAGAAATGTTGCGAGCGGCTTCATCCGCTACAGCCATCTACGTGTCTCCGGCGAAGCCGTTACATGACCAATTGCCACACGACAAGATAGGAGCTTCTCCATAGAACTGTCAGGACTGGACATACTCAGACTAGCACCCGAGTTTGTTGACTATACCACGGTAGGTGGGTGTCCCGACTGACAGGCTTTAAGCCCTCAGGTGAAGAACAACGAGGTCAGTCAGCTTCCCGTGCCACCTCGCACCAACGTCATGCGAAGGCTGGACCCGCGTAAACAGTCAGCGTGCCTCGAAGAAACCACCCCATTTCAGCCCGCCCTGCATGGCACGGCCACTGATTGTGCCCGGCCTGCGGAGACCGTCGAAGAAACACGCGAACAAAACTACAAGCATGCTTGACTTGGGCCGTAGCCCGGCACCGTTCAGAGTGCCATTCAGGACCGTATCTTCGTCCTGCAAGCATGTTCTTTTGTGCTGAATTTTTATGCACTTGCCATCTTTAACTACCATGTCGCGACGACCTCGCGACCTGAGACCCGTAACTGGAACGGATAATGAGTCTAAGTTCGATTTTTAACTGGAATTCACTGTCGGTTCATCTCATACATTCATCCTTTGTTTATGGTCCTCATTTATGGTTTTTGGCTTCACAAAGACGACAACGGTACATGCTCGAGGGACTTCATAGGATCAGTAATTGCCAGGGCTACTCTACATCCGCATTTGCGGAAGTCATACTCGGGCTAGTCGGTTTGGTGGTCGTCATGTATGCTCTGACCCTTGCACAACCAATTCAAGAATTTGCTTGTTATCAGATTCACTCAGTTTAAGCTTAAACAACATACGGTGTATTTCAGGCTTCGGATGAAATCTCGCAAGGTGGTGCCAGTTGAGCATACTTAATTCATGTACCACAACGCGAGAAGACAAAAGCCATTATTCTCTGATTCACGTAACGTTACTGAATAGGTCAAACCTAACTGTTACCAAACGCAAAGACTAGGAAAAGTCTCATTCACGAAGGGAAGCAGTACGAGCCACTCAGGTAACAGATGTTTGTGTCCTCGGAGATTCGAAGCTGGCTTGAAAAGGCTTTTTGGGAACATTGCAGAAAATCTGGAAGTAGCAAAGAAAAAAGAAGAAACCATGTTCGAATTCCAAGACATTTGGCAGAAACATTGTCAGCGAACCGACGAAAACCAGCCGGCCCATATCAATTCCATCCAAATTACCAATAGCAGAAAACTTGATTGCATATTATGGGTTGTGATGGTGTTTGTTGTAAATATTGTTATTGTGCCGGTGTCCCTGGTATCCTTGCTTTGGGATGCTTGAATACGGTACTGTTGTCTTATGCACGTTCGTTTTTTGTTACAAGTTGCCCCGGATGTTTGCATAAGAGAGGGAAAAGCGGAGCAGACAGGTTATACAGATACAGTATATACTCATACCGTGGAATGGTTGCGGAAACCTGATACACAAAGCATGGTGGACCATTTTGCCGCTTGCTGACGGGCGCAGAACTTCCCTCTCGAAGAAGGCCGAACATGCCTAAAGACATCAGGCTTCATCAGTGCTTGGGTTCTCAAGGGCCTCCGGTCAGGCTGACAAGAAGCCTTCATGACATGTCCGGAGTGTCCCGGAAGATGATGCTTTCTCCTTCTTCGGCAATGACCTGGTCAAACCGAAACCGAAACAAACATTTTGTGTCACGAAAGGCCCACTCACAATTCAAGTGAGGCACCTTGCAGGGACCTTCATAAGACTTGCCCGCCTGGCACGGTCGGGAGCTCATTGTGAAAAACAACGGATGTGTGATGAGAGTCTAAGTTGTTTACGCCGAGCTCTCGTTTTGAGCTTTCTGCACTGCCTGCAGCCTCTTGTTGGGATCCGTGATCTTCCACGCACCCTTGTCATCACCAGGACCTACCTGTCGGGACATGCATGCTGACCGACCCACTCATCGTGAAGGTGAAAGGGCTGGCCTCTACGACAAGGTTGAACTTCTGCCGTGACGTCAGCACCTGGGTAAAGCACATCGGACATCTCGCAGTTGCAGTGTTGGAGGCTGAGCTCCAGACAGGGTGCTTCACCCAGCCCACAAAGCGGTCACCAGCCTGGACCTGCGGGACTCGAGACCCGACAAGGTCCCGCCAATCGCTATCTTTTATCAACGTCCACATCACCGCGGGCCTTCTCCATCTTCTGTCGGAGCGGTGCGTTTTCCTCTTCGCCCTTGGCAGGAAGAGCTGTGCTGGAAAGCCAAGACTTTGCAGGGAAGGTGTTAGGAAATCCGAAAATCCAAACCGTGCCAAACGCATCTACCAGCGACTTGGGAAGGGAATGCTGATCATATTCGTGCACTTGAGGGTGATATCTTCTGACAATGAAGATATAGGAGCGCGTTCTGCCGCATGCGTGGTCAAAGTCATACCATGTCGGCCAATGACCGCTCTACATCAGCCGATCTGCTATCCTGGATCATGTATGTACTACGAAGGCGTTCTTCAAGGTGGCCCGCAGTCGTGGTATGTCGCAGTGATACTATATAGTGATCAAGTTGAATGTTCTACCCGTGCAATCGAGCAGACATACATTAAAGTGTGTGTGTGTGTATGCGTTTGTCTGTCTGCATGTGCATATGCTGCCAATCCACTTGATCAGCGAGCAAGATATGTCCTGGACCGTCTAGCAGAAGAAAGTCAAATAGATAGATAGTCAGATAGAGACATAGACCCATAAGATAATTAGATAAACAGACAGATAGATGGATGGGTAGAACAGATAGATACGCAAGCAAACAGAGCTTGGTTTGAACGTTGACCCACAAGGATCGGGCCCTCATGGCCACTGCCGCTCGCGTCTTCGTCGACCGTCTGGGAAGCGTGGAGCTCAAGTGTTGCGGTTCGGATGATTCGTAGCGTCCGAGTAGTTGCTTTGAAGGGATAGTTTCAGCTGCCCCAAAACCCCGCTCTAATCACTCGGGTTCGAAAAGTGACCGGGAAACCAAAGGAGGACAGCCACCACAGGATTGATGTTCGTCTCTTGGACTCTTGGTGCTTCGTCGTGGTGCTCTGCAATCAATGCAGATGGGCTCAGCTAATTGTAAAGAAACACGAGACAGCCAACAAGCACGATCCTTATTTCCTTAGCTGCCTAGTTTTCGCACGCGAGCTACTTGTCGGGGTCAGACATCAAGGGAATTGTATGGCAGCTAAGCAGAAAAGGTGCACACCAAGTTCTTCACTCAACTTTGGTTGAAACAAGACTTTCAAGCTTCACACCAACCAGTCTTGACTCATGTTGTAGGAATGGCATTGGCACCTTTTTGCCACGACGCCCGCTGCCACAGCTGTGGCAACCGCTGCGAGCGTCGTCGATGAACCTCGACTTTGCAATGGTTGTGTCGGACCGTTTCCTTATGTCAGTGTCACAAGTAGCGTCAGATTAACAAGTATTCGCAGTGTGCTGAGAACAAGAGTGGGTGCAGCTATGATCCAGGCCTGTGCGAAACACACGGACTGACCCATCCCGCTGGCCTCGTTCTGGAAGCTCATGCACCGCTTGCCCGGGCTTTGAGGCAAGCCTGCATTGGCTTTTTCGTCCCAAGTGCAACCGAGCTGCAGTAGCGAAAACAAAAGCAATTGAACCGAAGGGCGAACACACCACCCCCCCACTCACGAAATCCAACAACCAGCAATGGCAATTGACGCAGATCACATTCTATTCTAAAGGTACATTTCCGCATCAAGGGGCAGGACCGAGAGCCGGAGCCTTGCCTGGGCAGGGCTCCGTGCTGCACCCCGCCGAGAGCAAAGGCCTCAGTGCCCCAAACGGACCGGAGCATGGGACAAGTAGCAGACATGGAATGCCGCCCAGATTCAGGCTGTCTGCTCTTCCAAACACAGACTGCTCAGCTCAGAACCTCAGCAAGGAGTGCCATGGCGACAAAACCCCGAGACGCAGGGTCCGTCGCTCATGTAGTTTTCTATCGCTTGAGCAAGGCAGCGACAGCCAGTTCGACTGTAAGGTCAAGCCCGACTGCCAATCTTCAGGCCATCAGACATGCACTCTCCGATCCAGCTCTTTAGTAGTCTCTAGTTGAGGAAGCAGGAGAGAGGTCACCGTTTTCCCAAGCTCGCTTCAAGGTCTCGTCACGGCAAGAGACCGAACCTTAAGCATCGGCAGGGGACGGGCGGCCATGCGACGGACGCATCGGCTCAACTTGGCGCACTGGGCACCCTGCTCTTTAGCAAGCTCGGCCAGCTCACCACCCGCCTGCGCGTGGAAGCAGAAGCGAGGCCTTTCCTTTCCCGCCCCCGGCGCCCCGGCGTAGCCTTGTGCGCGTACTGGACCCAGAGAGGCTCCTTGATCTCACAAGCTGCAAGATGCTGCAAGTTCGTGCAGTCGAGGAGGAGCACCCCGCCCGCAGATCGGCCTCCAGCGAAGAGTCGGGCTCGCGCAGCAGAAAGTCCCGACTGCCAAGCGGGATTGTCAGCTGGCATGTCTTCGCAGTCTTCAAGATTCAAGAACGCCTCACTTGCACAGGAATCCAGACTCCTGCCGTAGAGGAGAGCTCGTCAACCTGTTCTGCTTCTAAATGTCTTTGCACGGCATAAGAAGTGTTTTTCCTTGTGGTGCCTCGTCGCCCTCCCAGAGGATGCTGTGATAGAAAAACTTGAATCGCAGGGAGGAGCCAGGCCCCTCAGCTACAAGCAGGCCAATCGCCACCCCCGTGCTGTAAAGCTGGACTGATCTGGACTGGAGGTTGAACTGGCTCCAGGCCGTGTCTATCCAGCGGCACGCGGTTTGGTAGTGATTACTGCGAGAGCATAGGACATCCACAGGCAAGCGCAAGGTTCCAAAAGAAACAAGATACTGAACAGTACTCAGTGGTGCTCAGTGATGCTCCGTGCGCAGCAGATGAATTTTTTCCGTCTCGCGTGCCAGACTGACACACAGTGAGGGCCGACTCCTAAAACTTCGCCCTGCTGAAAACACTTCTTGAGGGCTCTGCATCCCTGTCAGACCTACTGTCACTTGGCACATCGAAGGCCAGCGACTGTGGACTGCAAGCCACACGTGGGGTGCTGCATCAATTCGACGAGGAGATCATGTTGAGCAGGATGAGACTCAGGCGAAGGTACAGCATGGCCTCCTGACAGGCCACGGCAGACAGAGTGCTGCAGGCCATCCTAAGCATGCCTCCTGCCCTTGTCCTGGTCTTCATGCCGGTCAGTTCCAGGTTGTATGGTGTGAGCCGCAGCGCCATAGAATTCGACTTGCGACTGGGGCGAAGGAGTCAGGATTTGGCCTCCCGTTGCTGAAGGCAATGTAGCAAGCGGGGCATCTGCCATGCTGCAAGAGAAACGCATAGTCCATTCTGCCGGGACGCTGCATGGGCGTTCGACTCCTTTACAGCCTGACAGCAAAAGCGCCCAAACCTTTTCCGAAACACGCTTGGACGAACTTGCGCCACAACAGTTCCGCTTCAGCTCCTGCCAAAACTCTTCTGTGAGTCTCAGCTCCTCCTCCTGCAGAGTGGCTCAGCTTGGATTGATTCGGAAGGGCACAGAGTCTCCCTAAGTTCTTTCTTTTCAACCATCTACACTCCAGACTTCACGTCCCGATGCAGACGATATACCATTGTCTAGACAGAGATTGGCCATGTCCAGAGATAGCGGATCACCTCAAGCCAAGAATGACCTTGAAATCCGATGGCACCAAGCTGTGGACACGACAAATCAAATTTACCCTTGGGCCCTGCCACCAGAAGCACACTGCCGCAAGGAATGTTTGCACTTTGTACCACGGGCGCGCCTTCTGCATTTGGAAAGCCTTGTCTTCTGCTTGCCGGAACTTTCTGACCCACCTGCCGCAAGCCGTGGCGGAGAGCTCAGACATTGCCTGCAGGCCTGGTGTGTTTAACTTGCATACCCACTGCTGAGGATGGCACTGTTTGTGATTCCAAGCCTGCATTCAGGCGATTTATGCTGCCTGCACCAACTGGAGTTCCACGGGTCTTCTACGATCCCGGCTTGCCACTTGAGGCGCTTGAGCTCTGCCTCGGCACAAGCACGCCGAAAACATGGAGGCAGAAACAATCAACGTGCCTGGCCTTCCGACATCTCTCAATGGTCTGCATCACATGTTTCTGCGTCTTCGCACTTGAGACTGCCAATTCCCGAGAAGCCTGCAAAAAGGCCGTGCAGAGAAAACACGCAAGAATGCCTTCGCTTCCAGATCTCGGACGCTTTGGCACACCAATGCGAACTACCGCACGTGCCTTCGTCAGTTTCCGCCACTTCGCCTCCTCACGACACGACTGAGATTTACCGTCTCACGAAGTCTGCTCATGAGACATGCACAGCTTTCTTGTCAGCCGGCCCTAGCTAAGCTCTCCAGCAACTCCCTGCCTTGCAAAGCAAGCACGCAAAACCAAGTCGGCATCACAAGACCGAAGAAGTAACCAAAAACAATCATCCCCCAGGCCCCACCATATCTGTCCTGGCCAGTCTGCTTCTGAAGCTTCTTGAAGTGCTCGACCCAATCTGCCACCTGGCACGAGCATTGCCCCTGAGAGGAGGAAAGCCACTTCTAGCCCTGCGTTGTGCCTCATCCTTCTCTGCCTCTCCCATCTCTCGCATCGTGTCCTGAAACTTTCGGACCCACCTGAGCTACGTCTAAGCACCAGCCATCGCAGGGCTACACAGATCCAGTGAATGAAAAGGGAGAGCGGATAGGCTGAGCTGAGCGCTTTTGACTCGCATCTTGGCCACCTCTGCCCATTTGGATCAACGTGGTCCTGGCCGGTGGCCGGGCTTATATGCTATTTGTAACGTTGTAATGACAGATTTCGGAAGGCTCACAGCTCAATACAGCTCAGCACTCGCAAAGTAACGACGAAACTGAGGTTCTCACCCTCAAACAAAGGCCCGTTCAAGCGAGGCTCGTAATTCCCCTGTCAACGAAGACGCGAAGCCAAGGATCACGGCTCCTGAAGCCATCCTTCCATATCTTGGGCTCTTTCGCAATGGACCTCCCGTGGAAGTCAAACATGGTGGGCAGAAAGGGCAAGAGTTGTATTTACCGATAGTTAAAGTAGCCGAATCCCTAAAGCTCAGCTCCCCAGGCTCTGACTTCGCAGAACTTCTGCTCACGACTCCGGAGTCCCTTGGTGCCTTGTAACACCAAAGCAGGACTCGTCCTAATTGGCCACCAACATGTCGGAGGACCCGTCCCCACAGCAGCTGATATACGCTTCCGGAAACTGTAAAAACTTCCACTGCACACAAGCTTCGAGTTCAATGCTTGGCTACGAGACGCATGTTCTGAAACCTGTGCAGCTGGCTGCCTTCGCAGCTTTTTCATCATGCTCGTATAGCTCGTCGCCCAGCCTTGGCTGAAAAAAGCATGCTGCAAAACTGTGCCGGACCTTTGGCAACTTCTCTACCAGCAACCTATTCCCTTCAGCAAGACGTTACACCACAAACTTGCATGGACCGTCAAGAGTCGGTACAGACAAGATAAAAGAACATCAAACGCTGGGCTAGCCAGGAGAAACAGTTTGCGTTCTGCTCACAGGCTCAAGCCTCAGCTCTGGTGCCAACACTTCTTTTCGTCACGGTGGCCGACCACCACTGCAATAGGTCAACAACGGCCATGGCTGGTTGGACTTCCACTCGGCATCAATTGGAGAGCTAGTGTGCGTTCTGCTCACAGGCTCAAGCCTCAGCTCTGGTGCCAACACTTCTTTTCGTCACGGTGGCCGACCACCACTGCAATAGGTCAACAACGGCCATGGCTGGTTGGACTTCCACTCGGCATCAATTGGAGAGCTAGTGTGCGTTCTGCTCACAGGCTCAAGCCTCAGCTCTGGTGCCAACACTTCTTTTCGTCACGGTGGCCGACCGCCACTGCAATAGGTCAACAACGGCCCTGGCTGGTTGGATTTCCACTCGGCATCAATTGGAGAGCTAGTGTGCGTTCTGCTCACAGGCTCAAGCCTCAGCTCTGGTGCCAACACTTTTTTTCGTCATGGTGGCCGACCGCCACTGCAATAGGTCAACAACGGCCATGGCTGGTTGGATTTCCACTGAGCATCAATTGGAGAGCTAGTGTGCGTTCTGCTCACAGGCTCAAGCCTCAGCTCTGGTGCCAACACTTTTTTTCGTCATGGTGGCCGACCGCCACTGCAATAGGTCAACAACGGCTCTGGCTGGTTGGATTTCCACTCGGCATCAATTGGAGAGCTAGTGTGCGTTCTGCTCACAGGCTCAAGCCTCAGCTCTGGTGCCAACACTTCTTTTCGTCACGGTGGCCGACCACCACTGCAACAGGTCAACAACGGCCATGGCTGGTTGGATTTGCACTCGGCATCAATTGGAGAGCTAGTGTGCGTTCTGCTCATAGGCTCAAGCCTCAGCTCTGGTGCCAACACTTCTTTTCGTCACGGTGGCCGACCGCCACTGCAATAGGTCAACAACGGCCATGGCTGGTTGGATTTGCACTCGGCATCAATTGGAGAGCTAGTGTGCGTTCTGCTCACAGGCTCAAGCCTCAGCTCTGGTGCCAACACTTTTTTTCGTCATGGTGGCCGACCGCCACTGCAATAGGTCAACAACGGCCCTGGCTGGTTGGATTTGCACTCGGCATCAATTGGAGAGCTAGTGTGCGTTCTGCTCACAGGCTCAAGCCTCAGCTCTGGTGCCAACACTTTTTTTCGTCACGGTGGCGGACCGCCACTGCAATTGGTCAACAACGGCCATGGCTTGTTGGATTTCCACTCGGCATCAATTGGAGAGCTAGTGTGCGTTCTGCTCACAGGCTCAAGCCTCAGCTCTGGTGCCAACACTTTTTTTCGTCATGGTGGCCGACCGCCACTGCAATAGGTCAACAACGGCCCTGGCTGGTTGGATTTCCACTCGGCATCAATTGGAGAGCTAGTGTGCGTTCTGCTCACAGGCTCAAGCCTCAGCTCTGGTGCCAACACTTTTTTTCGTCACGGTGGCGGACCGCCACTGCAATTGGTCAACAACGGCCATGGCTGGTTGGATTTCCACTCGGCATCAATTGGAGAGCTAGTGTGCGTTCTGCTCACAGGCTCAAGCCTCAGCTCTGGTGCCAACACTTCTTTTCGTCACGGTGGCGGACCGCCACTGCAATTGGTCAACAACGGCCATGGCTGGTTGGATTTCCACTCGGCATCAATTGGAGAGCTAGTGTGCGTTCTGCTCACAGGCTCAAGCCTCAGCTCTGGTGCCAACACTTCTTTTCGTCACTGTGGCCGACCGCCACTGCAATAGGTCAACAACGGCCCTGGCTGGTTGGATTTCCACTCGGCATCAATTGGAGAGCTAGTGTGCGTTCTGCTCACAGGCTCAAGCCTCAGCTCTGGTGCCAACACTTCTTTTCGTCACGGTGGCCGACCACCACTGCAATAGGTCAACAACGACTCGGCATCAATTGGAGAGCTAGTGTGCGTTCTGCTCACAGGCTCAAGCCTCAGCTCTGGTGCCAACACTTCTTGTTTCGCGGTGGCAAAAACAAGTTTCCATTTGCCACTGGAGGGCTTCTGCTCACGAGCTTGGACTACTTTCGGAGAAGCGGCTCACGATTGCGGAATCGATGGTCGCGATGTGTCAAGCTCACGTACTTGTGGCTTCTGCATCACGGCGCGGAGCTACATGTCAAGGCCATGTACCACGTGCTAGGTCAGGCAGCAGAGTGGCTGCCGCAAGCGATACTCTCGTGCTGGCGAGGGCAAGACCTGCGCTTGAATGGAGCTCTTCGAAGCCTCACATGAAGCTCTCAGCTTGCCAAGAGCATCTTGCCAGACCCGAATGTCCGTCAGATTGTCGCCTCACTTGGACAGATGTGCGTGCATGTGTATTGTATATAGGTACCGCCTGTACGCACAAGTAAGACACCACACGTCCCAGCAACACAAGCCAGAAAACACGGTGTCGAAACTGCACCAAACCAAACTGCCGATGCGCCACTCAACATTGGAGGGCAAGTGTGTCTGTGCTCATGGACTGTAGTCTCAGCTCTGGTGCCAACACTTTTTCTCATCCCTGTGGCTGTGCTGAACTCCAAGACACAAGTACATAAGCCGCCTGACAGAAAGGACACTGGCCAAACGGCGTAACTCTTCAAATACAGTCCGATCTGACGGATGACGTTCGAGAACGGGCATCCAGGAATTCGTGTCCACAAGGTCTTGTCTTGTCGGTGACCACTGCGTTTGCGGATTTGAAAAGCCAAGCCTTGCCGCCCCTTTGGCTAGAACGGGCTACAGTCTCAATCCTGAACCCAACGCCACTATCCATACTCGAAGTAAGCTAAGTTTTACTCAACGCTTACATACAGAAACAAAGCCGTAACAGTGTAGAAAGCGTGGCGACAAGCCCAATACCCGAAACAGAATGAAGCGATCCAAACATCCTACAGGACTGCAGGGCCCAACTCGGCATCAAAGACCCAAAACCTGAACGCTGTGGAAAACGATTGTTGGCGCTTATTACAACTCTTTCAGGATCCTCTTCAAACTCCGGCCTAGCTGCTGTTCCGGGCCGTGCTCTTTCCGGCTCCGGCCCTCGCACCCACTGTTGAGATACCAAGCATCCAAGCAACCCGAAACCCCAAGACCTACAAACCCCAGAACCCCAAAACACTATTCAAAGAAATGAAACCCTAAACCCTAAAACCCTAGAGCCCTCAACCCTGAAACCCTAAACACGCAGCTCCCCTCGCCTGGTACCCCAAACCTCCCCTTCAACCCCACCAATCACGAGTGCATGAATCGTCCGCGCATGCTTCGATGTGGCTGAACGGCGGTTTCGGCACAGAATCGGGAGTGCTGCAATCGCAATGCCCAAAGCAGTTCCAATGATTGAACCGGGCTTCGGCGAATTTACGAAACCTTCTCTTAAATGCACACAGTCGGAAACACGGCGTCGAAAGCATGCCAAGCCAAACTGCTGATGCACCACTCAACATTGGAGGGCAAGCGTGTGTGTGCTCAATGACTACAGCCTCAGCTCTGGTGCCAACACTTTTTCTCATCCTTGTGGCTTTGCTGAAATCCCGGACACAACTTCCGAAAGCCGCCTAACATCAAGCAAACTGCCGAACGATGTAAAGCGATCTAAATTTTGACGTTCGAGCAGACGCGAAGCATGTCTTGCCAGGCCGCTGCAATCCCACAACACCAAATGCTCACACAGCATATGCAGGAAAGTGCACACACACACAGAATCCAGGAAACACGGTGTCGAAACTGAACTAAGCCAAACTGCGGATTCGTCACTCAGCATTGGGAGGGCCAGTTTGTCTGTGCTCACGGACAACAGCCTCTGCTCTGGTGCCAAGCCTTGTGGCTGTGCTGAACTCCAAGGAAGCAACTTGCACAAGGCGCCTGACATCAAAGACAACTGCGAAACGACGTGACTAGTCAAACACTGTCCGACACTGTCCGATCTGCTGACGTTCGAGGGCAGAAAGCATATCTTGTCCGGCCATTCCAATTCCACAATGCCCACTGCAGAAACTGCATATGCAGCACACTCATATGCAAACACTGCGTCCAAACCATGTCAAGCCAAACTGCCGATGCGCCACTCAACATTGGAGGGCAAGTGTGTCTGTGCTCAATGACTACAGCCTCAGCTCTGGTGCCAACACTTTTTCTCATCCTTGTGGCATTGCTGAACTCCTTGACGAGAATCTACACAAGCCGTCAAGAAAACTGCCAACCGATGTGACCAAATCCGACGCTTGACGTTCGAGGGCCAGGGCAAGCAGTCGCAAAGCATATCTTGCTTGGCCATTGCAGTGCCTCAACACCGACTGTACATCTGCATATGCAACACACAACATAACACATTTCCGAACTGTGCCAAGCCAAACTGTCGATGTACCACTCAACATTGGAGGGCAAGTGTGTCTGTGCTCAATGACTACAGCCTCAGCTCTGGTGCCAACACTTTTTCTCATCCTTGTGGCATTGCTGAACTCCTTGACGAGAATCTACACAAGCCGTCAAGAAAACTGCCAACCGATGTGACCAAATCCGACGCTTGACGTTCGAGGGCCAGGGCAAGCAGTCGCAAAGCATATCTTGCTTGGCCATTGCAGTGCCTCAACACCGACTGTACATCTGCACATGCAACACACAACATAACACGTTTCCACAGTGTGCCAAGCCAAACTGTCGATGTACCACTCAACATTGGAGGGCAAGTGTGTGTGTGTGCTCAATGACTACAGCCTCAGCTCTGGTGCCAACACTTTTTCTCATCCTTGTGGCTTTGCTGAAATCCCGGACACAACTTCCGAAAGCCGCCTAACATCAAGCAAACTGCCGAACGATGTAAAGCGATCTAAATTTTGACGTTCGAGCAGACGCGAAGCATGTCTTGCCAGGCCGCTGCAATCCCACAACACCAAATGCTCACACAGCATATGCAGGAAAGTGCACACACACACACACAACCCAGGAAACACGGTGTCGAAACTGAACTAAGCCAAACTGCGGATTCGTCACTCAGCATTGGGAGGGCCAGTTTGTCTGTGCTCACGGACAACAGCCTCTGCTCTGGTGCCAAGCCTTGTGGCTGGCTGAACTCCAAGGAAGCAACTTCCACAAGGCGCCTGACATCAAAGACAACTGCGAAACGACGTGACTAGTCAAACACTGTCCGACACTGTCCGATCTGCTGACGTTCGAGGGCAGAAAGCATATCTTTTCCGGCCATTCCAATTCCACAATGCCCACTGCAGAAACTGCATATGCAGCACACTCATATGTAAACACTGCGTCCAAAGCATGTCAAGCCAAACTGCCGATGCGCCACTCAACATTGGAGGGCAAGTGTGTCTGTGCTCAATGACTACAGCCTCAGCTCTGGTGCCAACACTTTTTCTCATCCTTGTGGCATTGCTGAACTCCTTGACAAAAATCTACACAAGCCGTCAAGAAAACTGCCAACCGATGTAACCAAATCCGACGCTTGACGTTCGAGGGCCAGGGCAAGCAGTCGCAAAGCATATCTTGCTTGGACATTGCAGTGCCTCAACACCGACTGTACATCTGCATATGCGACACACCACATAACACATTTCCGAACTGTGCCAAGCCAAACTGTCGATGTACCACTCAACATTGGAGGGCAAGTGTGTCTGTGCTCAATGACTACAGCCTCAGCTCTGGTGCCAACACTTTTTCTCATCCTTGTGGCATTGCTGAACTCCTTGACAAAAATCTACACAAGCCGTCAAGAAAACTGCCAACCGATGTGACCAAATCCGACGCTTGACGTTCGAGGGCCAGGGCAAGCAGTCGCAAAGCATATCTTGCTTGGCCATTGCAGTGCCTCAACACCGACTGTACATCTGCACATGCAACACACAACATAACACGTTTCCACAGTGTGCCAAGCCAAACTGTCGATGTACCACTCAACATTGGAGGGCAAGTGTGTGTGTGCTCAATGACTACAGCCTCAGCTCTGGTGCCAACACTTTTTCTCATCCTTGTGGCTTTGCTGAACTCCCGGACACAACTTACGAAATCCGCCTGACATCAAGCAAACTGCCGAACGATGTAAAGCGATCTAAATTTTGACGTTCGAGCAGACGCGAAGCATGTCTTGCCAGGCCGTTGCAATCCCACAGCACCAAATGCTCACACAGCATATGCAGGAAAGTGCACACACACACAATCCAGGAAACACGGTGTCGAAACTGAACTAAGCCAAACTGCGGATTCGTCACTCAGCATTGGGAGGGCCAGTTTGTCTGTGCTCACGGACAACAGCCTCTGCTCTGGTGCCAAGCCTTGTGGCTGGCTGAACTCCAAGGAAGCAACTTCCACAAGGCGCCTGACATCAAAGACAACTGCGAAACGACGTGACTAGTCAAACACTGTCCGACACTGTCCGATCTGCTGACGTTCGAGGGCAGAAAGCATATCTTGTCCGGCCATTCCAATTCCACAATGCCCACTGCAGAAACTGCATATGCAGCACACTCATATGTAAACACTGCGTCCAAAGCATGTCAAGCCAAACTACCGATGCGCCACTCAACATTGGAGGGCAAGTGTGTCTGTGCTCAATGACTACAGCCTCAGCTCTGGTGCCAACACTTTTTCTCATCCTTGTGGCATTGCTGAACTCCTTGACACAAATCTACACAAGCCGTCAAGAAAACTGCCAACCGATGTAACCAAATCCGACGCTTGACGTTCGAGGGCCAGGGCAAGCAGTCGCAAAGCATATCTTGCTTGGCCATTGCAGTGCCTCAACACCGACTGTACATCTGCATATGCAACACACAACATAACACATTTCCGAACTGTGCCAAGCCAAACTGTCGATGTACCACTCAACATTGGAGGGCAAGTGTGTCTGTGCTCAATGACTACAGCCTCAGCTCTGGTGCCAACACTTTTTCTCATCCTTGTGGCATTGCTGAACTCCCTGACAAAAATCTACACACGCCGTCAAGAAAACTGCCAACCGATGTGACCAAATCCGACGCTTGACGAACGAGGGCCAGGGCAAGCAGTCGCAAAGCATATCTTGCTTGGCCATTGCAGTGCCTCAACACCGACTGTACATCTGCACATGCAACACACAACATAACACGTTTCCACAGTGTGCCAAGCCAAACTGTCGATGTACCACTCAACATTGGAGGGCAAGTGTGTCTGTGCTCATGGGCTACAGCCTCAGCTCTGGTGCCAACACTTTTTCTCATCCTTGTGGCTTTGCTGAACTCCCGGACACAACTTACGAAATCCGCCTCACATCAAGCAAACTGCCGAACGATGTAATGAGATCTGAAGCTTGACGTTCAAGGGCAAGTAGACGCGAAGCATGTCTTGTCAGGCCGTTGCAATCCCACAACATCGAATGCTCACACAGCATATGCAGCGAAAGCACAGACACACACACACACACACACCATCCAGGAGACACGGTGTCGAAACTGCACTAAGCCAAACTGCGGATTCGTCACTCAGCATTGGGAGGGCCAGTTTGTCTGTGCTCACGGACAACAGCCTCTGCTCTGGTGCCAAGCCTTGTGGCTGTGCTGAACTCCAAGGGAGCAACTTGCACAAGGCGCCTGACATCAAAGACAACTGCGAAACGACGTGACTAGTCAAACACTGTCCGACACAGTCCGATCTGCTGACGTTCGGGGACAAGCAGCTCGCAAAGCCTGTTGTCAGGTATTCGACTCGAACTTGACAATGCCGAATGCAGAAACTGCATATTTCAACACACACAGACACACATATATGCAAACACAACGTCGAAGGCATGCAAAGCCAAACTGCCGATGCACCACTCAACATTGGAGGGCAAGTGTGTCTGTGCTCAATGACTACAGCCTCAGCTCTGGTGCCAACACTTTTTCTCATCCTTGTGGCTTTGCTGAACTCCCGGACACAACTTACGAAATCCGCCTCACATCAAGCAAACTGCCGAACGATGTAATGAGATCTGAAGCTTGATGTTCAAGGGCAAGTAGACACGAAGCATGTCTTGTCAGGCCGTTGCAATCCCACAACACCGAATGCACACACAGCACAGCATACGCAGCGAAAGCACACACACAACACACCATCCACGAAACAAAGCCGCCGCAGATACTGCCTACTCAAGTCGACACGCACACCAGGACAAACTGCTTCGGAAAGGCACCAACCTGGCATGTCGATGTGCGACGCAGAACCGGAGTGGTTGCTGGATAGCAGGTGGCTGCACAAGAATCATTCTGTTCATCCGGCAGCATGCAGCCCTGCTGACAGTCGCGAAGTACGGGCGTAGCCGAGAGACAGTGCATGTTTTTCTCGTCCTGCTGCAAGACAATGTTGTCGATCTCCTGTCCGCTTGAACAACTTAGGAGCACCTCAACCAGACAATGAGTCTAGCCCGCCGTCTCGTTCTCACATCTACATGCAACTGACCAAAACTTGTTTGGCCCCATCACTGTCTGAAACAGCAATGACATTCAGAGTGTCATCTGTAGACAACGCTGCTGACAAGGCTGCCCACCTCTTGAATCTTCTCGGCGAGGACCTCCTGTGCAAGGCAACCGCACACCATGCGCACACCATCCCAGGATGCTTTGAATTTTTTGCGCACTGTGCACAAATATGAAAGCTTAGAGAGGCTCTGGGTCTGGCCGCCTGGCCTGGGAATTCTCAGCTCTCTGCTGAAGGTCTTCTCGAAAGTCCCGGAGCCTCTTCGAGTACCGGCGTCCAAGCTCCTACCAGGCAAAGTCCAGTCGCGCCTACTGCCCACGGTGGACACAAGTCAAGGATCAGTCCTCTCGACGATACGAGGCCTGGAAAACTGCAAATCAGTCTCAATTTAACTCAATTTCAAGCTGGGGAAGGGGAAAGGCCGCGACAGGCTTGCACTCCGTGTCAGCAACGGCTCTTGCAAGCAAACAGCAAACCCCAAAGGGTCTGGTGGAGATGCAGGCACACGTGCTACTGCCCTGCCATGACCACGAAAGCGTCATGATAACCGTTGGCCTCTTCTTCCACATGTGCGAACTTTTGCACCCAAATCTTTCCGTCCTCAGTGACAACATAGCAGCTTGAACAACAACTTGCGCATAATCACGTCTGCCAAGCAAGCCCCAAGACAGAAAACTCTTGCTTCTGCCTTCTCTCTTTGGGAAGCTGTCGCTTCTCGCTCTGCTTCCAAACGACTTTTCCACACTCTTGCCTCGGAATATGCCAAGTCCACGAGTGCGCAATCTGCCAGCAGCAGAGATAAGTGTGTAACAAACCTACAAGCCTCGTCATCCAGTTGTTGCTTCCTTCTCTGCTTGAAGGCATCAAGCGTGTCCCAGCCGAGATGGATATCCTCACGCTCATCTACAGCATTAAGAAGCCTGAGTACATGTTAGCCAACGTAGTTCCACTGTTGAGGAGTACGATGCTGAAGCGTTAAGCGCTCCTTGTTCTGCTGCTTGCGAACCGTCTCCAGCACCTCCTGGAAATGGAAAGGGCTTTAAGTCAACTGCGGGGGCCACGGGGGCTAGCGGCTAGAGTTCCTCGAGGCCGATTGCCCAGCCCAGCCCAGCGGCTCTTAGAAAATGCGCTCAGCGCCAAGCCTTCACGCCCTGCTGCCACTCCTTTCGCCGCTTCGCCTGTCTGCGTGTCAGCACCCTAGGAGGACACCTGTACTGCACCACACCAGGCTCGGTAGAGACCGATGTGACACGGAGATATCCAGGACCGCTCCTGTCGGTGCTTTGCGGACGCAACCGCCTGTCAAGCTCTGGTTTGCGTGTGAAACTGTCACAGCACGCAACAAAGAGTCTGAGAGCTGCACAAGGCAGCGCTCCCACAAAACTGTTGACATAACATGACATAACACAACCAAAACGCGAGAGCTCGAGCTTTTTCAGCCGCCTGAGTTGTCTGGAGCTCTAGCTCACTTTGGCTCCCTTGCACTGGCCGCAAGCAACAGACTTTGCACCTTCAGAGTTTTGGAAAACAGAGTCTTCTCATGAACTCATGAAGGTGACATGCCGAAAGACTTGTCAAGGGCTTGAATGTCCCTTGAGTCCTCAAGTATGTTCACGGGTTTGGCCTGCTTTGAAGCCAAGTGATCCAGCACTGGACCAGCCGTGGTCGTCAGAAGTCGGAAACCACTATAAAAGGCCAACCGTGTGATGACTCTGTAAACGGGGACAACACAGGTAGGTCGCTCATAGTAAAGCTCCCGTTTGCAAATCTTTGATCTGAGAAATGAAAGCAGCTGGAAGCACTCCATCTTTCCCAGGCGAAAGAATCACTTGATTCGCGCTCCGGAAGAACGGAATTCCATACTTGGCAGACAGAGGGAAGACGCAGCAAGATGCAGGTGCAGTGGAACTTGCTGCAGGCTGCCAAGCCACCTGAATCGCAGCTCGCAAATCGATATAGATGGCAACCTGGCACCGAACCGAGAATGAGACATCTTACTGGGGCATGGGGCAGCTGTCTGTTTCGCAGTCCATGAGGGGCATGCAGTGCTCTCGGGCCTCACAGTTGTATCCTTGGCAACGGACACGAGACGCAGGCATGTATCGCTCAAATGCCCGTAGTACAACTCAGGCTTCTCGTGCTCCCAGAACTGCGACAAAATCCGTTTGCTATGCACTCTCCATATGATCCAAGGCACGCATACCAGAGATAACTCTGCCATCATGTGGTTCGAACGGAGCAAAATGGATGTGGTTGCGCTCGGACACTCCGCCACCAGCAATCAAGCCAGTCCTGCTCAGAAATCAGAAACACAAGGGCACATCTTGCTGCCGACTGCTTCTTCCAGCTCTGACTGTTCCAGCACAGCATATGCGCAACGGAAGTCGTGCGTCTCCTTCTGATTGACTCCAAATTGCGCCGGTATGTGCCATGCACACAAACCTGAGGGACATGGTGCTGGCAAGGCAACACTGCTGGACAGCACCACGTCTTCACTTTCACAAGGGATCTTGCAGTGATGCATCAATACATGGAAAGCTTGAACGGTCTGTCATGAGCACATGCGCTTTACTCTTTGGACAGCAAACTGTTGGAAGGTCGGCATCAGCCGCACCCAGACGAGAAAGTAGGCTCTCGTCTGCCACTGCCTGTTCGGGACAAAGCCATGCGAACACCAGTCACAAGTTCGGCTATGCCAAGCAAGGCCCACATACATTCCGATGCCAGGACTGATGGATCTGTAACTACTCTTTTTTGTGTTGCGTCTTCGATGGTTGATCGTTTTGGTCCGTCGTTTTCTTGCTACTGCAAGAACATATCCGATGCAATGACTTGGGCGGCCTTCATGGAGTGTCCCTGCACGGCCCTGACAAAAACCTGCATAAGATGCAGCTTGCTCTCAAGCACAGATATTGTGTGAGATCGCCGCCCACTCCTTGCCGGACTCTTCGCTGATTTCGAAGCGCTTCTTGTCGTTGGAGGCCACAGCGACCTGACATAACTTCCGATACTGCAGCCACAAGTCGGAAATGGGAAGCCGCCTAAAGCTTTTGGCATTCTTGCAAACCGATTTCTTTCTTCGCACACGCAGAGTACAGAGACACAGTCCCGAATGTCCAAACACAAGGTAGCGGCAGCGAAGCAAGCCACATGAAGCTACATCTCCTGACCTGACCCTGCTTGAAAAATACTATGTCCGGATTCCCTACGACATGCCGCATCAATATGTCAAAAGTGGTTGCTTTCAGAGCTGCGGTGGTACATGTTGCTGGTAACGCCAGTCGACATAAAACGAAATCAGCAGCCTGAAAAGTATTCGAAAACCACGGGAATCCCCTGAGCTTCCTGCTTTGACCTCCTCCGCATTACAAGACAATGCGGTAAAGTCCTGGAGCTTCAACAGGTCCTCCGGATTCTCTTCCACACCCGCGGAGAATGAAAGCACGTCAAATGCGACCGTCCTCTAAGCTGCAGAAGCCATCTGCACGGATCTGGATACCCTGGCTCGCTGCAGTATGTCGCAGCACACGCGCCAGTGCCTCCGCACACAAGCACAATGCACAGAAAGGCGGTCGTGTGCAACCTGTGCCTTCGAGATTTGGGTGGTCCGGTCTTTGCCGCTGACTTTTCCTTTGCCTTTGCCGCCCTTTCCGCCCTGCACAGAACACGCAGGAAGATGTGTCGATCAAAGCACCAGGTAACTAATGTTTATGCTAGCACGTCGACTCACTCTTGATTCTTAAACTGCTGTTGCATGCCTTCCGATCTCCTTTCTCTTGAAAGGCTGATGGCGTTGCGACCTGATGCAGGATGTGTGCTGTAAGCCACAGATTGCTCGGTGTGAACCGTAAGCCCTCTATCAGGATTGCTTGGCCTCTGTGGGTTTTGCGGCCTTGGATTGGATTGTCTGGTCCTGCATGGGCCAATCTACTCTACACAACCGTGGTCGGCACAAAAATCGTTCACCAGAAAAACTGAATCGATAACCAGAACGGCTGAATCGGAAACACCAGCCATGCTTCCACACCGTGATTCAGAAACCAGAACGGATGAGTCGGTAACCAGAACGGCCGATTCGGCAACCCGACGCAGTTGGGCCGTGGATGGTATCTTCTCGGAACGCCATCTGCCATGATGGACGTCATCATGGTTTTCCCGTGGATGCACCGATGCACCCCCCTTCTCACCACCCTAGCCTTGCTTCCAAACTCCCATGCCATTTTCCAAGCTCCAGTTTCCGATATACACGCGGATTTCTGATGCACCGGTTTACGATGCGTGCTGGTTTCTGACGCGCAGTTTCCCATGCGCGCCGGTCTCCAATTTCCGATGCGTGCTGATTGCCGATGCGCTGCTTCGGATGCGCGGCGGTTTCAGATGGGTGTTTTTTTTCTTTGGCCCTTTAGTTTGTTTTGATCTTTGGCATTTTCTTTTTTGGTGAGGGCGGAGGCTCTCTGTATTTCCGGGGAAAAACCTTTTTCTCGCTGTATTCCATACAGAATGCTCGCATGATGTGTTTCAAAAAGACTCATATGCTTTGAAGCAAGTTTGCGCGGCTCAAAAAAGGTGGTATGTTGGGGTTCGCAGCTCCCCCGCATTTGGAAACAGAATGCTTGCACGCTGGGTTTCAGTTTACTGCTTTGCAGTAGGCTTGCACAAAAGAATGATTTCTGATGCGCCTCGGGTTTCTGCTGCGCAGTTTCTGATGCTGCTTGGTTTTCTGCTGCGCGGTTTCTGATTCCATCCCCAGTTTCTGATTTTGCAGTGGATCACATCACCTTTGGCTGCCCATAGGCCATCGCCGATTCGTGTCCGGGTTTTGCGCCGCCGTTCGGAACTGCCCGGATACGCTTCGGCCTCTTTGAGGGAGCGTTTCGAACACGCTCAGGTGCGTTTCATGTCCGGTTCGGGCATTTTGGATGATGTTCTGGTAATCGGATGGGGTCGGAGTGAACCCCTAAACTCTGAGTCCCAAACCCAAACACAAAACCCTAAAGGATCGCTGGTGCCCAAAAACTATCAACCCTAGACTCCAAAACCCTAAACCGAGCCCCGAGCCCCAAACCTAAACCCTAAACCCAGAACCCCAAACCCTGAAGCCCTAACCCAACCCTAAAGCCTGAGATCGCTAATGCCCCAAAAACCCTCAATCCTAAACCCTAGTCCCACAAAGGAAAACGAACCCTGAAGGCTCAACCCCAGAAGCCAAACATAACCCGCAACCTCAAACCCTAAATCTCACCAATGCACTTGAAACGCACCAGACTCTCGTCAGAATTTGTCTTTACTCGCCCCCAGCCAGAATTCCGGGCCTGAGATCGGACCTGAACTGTACCCTACCGCTTCCGAAACACACCACCCTCCATGGGCCACTTGTAGTCGATGCGATTCACTTCTACTTCTTAGTGCATACGGGATCAGCAGATTGCTGAATCTATATGTCAAGAGAGGCACTTGCTGAGAAAAGCCACGTTCATCAGGGGAGTTGCGACGCCTCTCCCTATTCTGAGTCGCTTGGTTGGTACGCCATGCATGGGCGTTGACGACCCCTGAAACATCCTGCGGCCTGGCCGAGAACGGCCGTCGCAGGCGCTGTACTTGCAACGGAAGTTCCCGCGACTTCCTGGCTGCGAGTTTGACAAAGCCGAGAAGCCGAGAAATTCGGCGACAGCCTGGCGGCCCGGCCTTCGCTTTGGGGCTTCGGCTCCTCTTCCGCCGCGACCGCGACCGCTTGCCGCGCGAGCGCGAGCGCGAGCGGCGCGGCGAGCGCTTGGAGCGGCTCCGGCTCCTGAGCCGAGAGAGAAAGGAAAGACACACAGAGAGCAGTCTCCGAAGGCTTTGCTGCGAGTCCTCCGCCTTCGGGACCGGGACCTGCTCCTCCTGCGCTTGCTCCTGGCTCCGACCAGCACTCAGCACTCACCAGAGCAGTTTCAGGTGGATTCGGATCCTGCTTCGTGTCTCTCTCTTCTGAGACGCCTCGCCCTCACCTTTGGCACTGGACGGTGACCTGCGGAAGGCGATCTAGATCATGCAGCCATGTGGCAATCGCCCTTTTCGCAACCTTGCCTTTCAGGTACAACGGGTGCCTTTGGAACAGCATCGTCCGATACTTTCTCCAGGTTCCTAGGCTGGGCGGGATCACCACACCGAATAGCACCAGATCAACGGTTTGGTGAACCATGTCACAACTTGCCAAGACCGAGCCATGAAGCTCCTCTTTTACCTTGTAGGACTTGTCGCGCCAGTTCACAAGCACCTGAGCATGAAACAATGCAATGCAAGAAGCTCGACATGCAAGGCCGACATCTGGAAGGTTCGGACAGAATGACATCAATTGCTTTCTCCACTAGGCTTCTGAAGGGCTGTAATAGGTCGCATTGCCCCGCTTAGTCAAAGCACGAATGAAGCTGAGCTTCCGGGAGCAATGAACCGTGCTCAGGTGGGGGGAATTAGGAAAACGCACATCGGTGCTGGGGTCACGGTGTTCCCAAGTCCAGAATGCAGACATGGCGATACACCCTAGATCGACGCAGGGTTGCTACATGACATACACAACAGCTTAAGGCCATCGCCGAGTATTTCCCCAATTTCGCGTCATAGTCCACAACGGTTCCTTGTTTTCCGTTGTCATCTGTGCTCTTTACCTCGGGCTGGATGTGAAGCACAAGCGTGGCTTGCCCCGTGCAGGACAACCCCAAATCTGCTGCAAAGACGCAAGGCCACGGAACCGTACCCTGTCGTGTTTTTTGAACTTCGGCTCCGCCATGGCGTGACTACGACCGGTGGTCCTGCGGCGAGACGCCATCGACACTTTAACAAGAAGTGCTTCGACCGCAGTCCCATGCATGAGGCCTACACCGGCTTGGGAGACGGCAGCTCTCTCACCGGCATGCTGCCACTGTGGTACCATGGGAAGGTCCACCCATCCTATGACAATCTTGGTGTCTAGCAAAGTCTATGCAGGTCTTGCTGGCTAGCCAGCCCTTCTCATGCATCAGCTACAGCAACTCTTGCGAAAGTCATATCGAACAAAGCTTGAGGCTGGCTCGAGGTGACAGGAGGTGGGAACTTTAGAGCATCTGCTTCATTTGGAGGCTAGCTCTTGGTGCCCGATAACGGAAGATGACCCATGACCGTGGCTGTTCATGTGGCGTGGCTGCTCTTTTGACATCTTGATCACCAATTTCCACGACATGCTTCCGCGTCGCTCTTGCTACACGACTCTCTGCAATGCAGCGGCACTGCAGCCCTGAACAGCACGCGACTTCAAGGCACATGCATGAAAATACCTCTGCCAGCGGACTCTTGAGTACGTGCCTTTCGCAGTTCTCGTTCGAAGAATACATCTTGGGCAGCTGCGGCCTTGGCCTCTTTCGAGCAAGTGTGTGTCTCTGTGTGTGAGATTGCACGCACTTTCTCAGACGTGCCGGCTTGCAGCGTGAACAGGCGGGTGGTTGGGTGGGTGCCGGGAATCGAGAGGCTGGGATGTCCAAGTTGGTTGCTGGTTTCAGCATGTTTCAGCGGCTGCCTGTAGGCAAACACTCATATACTCGGGTCCGGTTCTGGGCCCATCCGTGCATTGCAATGAAAAATTGATTATGGGCGATGTCTGTTCTAGACAGGTTTGCTTCGCAACTCTTGCGGCCGACACAGCGCAATGAGACATCAACAGGGATGACTAAGCATGAATTAACAGCACCCGCCTGCTTCTGTGCCTCCCTCTCTTGCTTCTGCTGCTGCCTGCAGTGTATCTTCATTCAACTTTCCGGCATCTTTCGGCCCTGGCCTCCATCGCTGCTCCTCTTGTCGAGTTTTTCGGCTTCGGACTTCCTCTTCCCAACTGCTCCTCTGGCTCAGGCACACAGCACCGACTGGGGTTGCCCTTAAGACACCCATGGCATACATCCGCATGTCAATGATGCCTGTGGCGAGTGCTGTAGCCATAGCTGCTGCTGCCGCCGTTGCTGCTGTAGCTACTGTACGCGTAGCTGTCCGCTGATCTAGACGTCGTTTTTTTCGTCGAAGACCAACGGGCCCGTCCTTGGCAAGCAAAAGAGCTAGCAACTCAAATGCAGTGATCCAAGATAAGGGCATGGCCTTCCGCAGTACCTAGCTGCTCCAAGGCCTTGCATTTTCGCTTGAAATTTCAATTCAAAAGCACACTGCACGGTCCTGCCGCACGGTCCTGCCTCGCGAATAGAACGGAAGCGATCCTCGTTACCAGTACCTCTCACGTGCTGTGTAATCCAAAACAGTGTCCAACGTCTGTGACTGGGCAGCATGTGCACACTGATACAGGACTGCAGCATGAATAGCCACATCAGCTAGAGCGGCTACAAAAAGCTGCCCAGACTTGCCTGGCACATCAGGGTGGTATGTCCTGCACCGAGCCACCACCAAGCAACATGTAACTGGATTGCCATGCGTTTGCCAAGCGTGGCGGCAGCAGCAGCAGCAGCGTCGTCATCACCATCATCATGAGACGAACAAAAACCAAAGCAGCAGCGGTAGCCACGGCGGAGTCACGGCAACAGTCGACCAACAGCTGCAGCTGTCCGCCGATTTTGCCACCGCAGCCGCCACCGAATCATCACCGCCATCACGAGCACCCCCAGTGTTGAAAGCAGGCACTGAATGCCACTGATATTGTTATCCGCAGCCGGTGACGACATCGACGATTTTTATTGGACGCTGAGCGAGCGGGCTCTGCTCATTGCGGGCGAGCAGAAACTTCGGAAGCGTGCCATCCCCGAGTGTGCCGTGAGCCAGCGCCACCGAGGTGAGCCATAAGCCAGCACCACTCCCTTAGAATCTGACCTGCCGACATTCTTATAGAGGTTACGCGGTCTTCGCCCGGCGGCCTTGTAAAGAAAAAGAAACAGACTGGCGCTTTGCGCGAGGGGACTGCCCATGCGAGAATCGCAGGTACCTCCTTCATCCGTTTCTGAGAACTACGACCGAAGTCAGGCCCCGAGGCCTCGCGTAAAACAAGCCAAAACGAACTGACCTAACAAAACCAACAGAGAAGACCGCGCAACCCCTATAGGATCCTCAGTGAAGGGAAAAGAGGAGCCGATGCTACAAACGTTAAAAGAGAAAGGGCTTAAGTCAAGAAGAGCAGCGCTGCAGACTGTACACAGCAGCAACAGCTCTTGGGCACCAGCCTCTAGGGGATAGGCCACAAGAAGTTGACTTCAGTTACAAAGGCGTTGCCCGTTTTTTACGCGAGCGATGCCCGAAACTCCTAACGTGACAGCCCGACTCACAAAGTCGTCGTCATGTAGCCTCCGTCACCCTCAGTGTGAGTCATTGCGTCCAATACTCACGAACTGGCAGCCGGTGGGTCGTACTCAGAAGAGCCGTCTCCCAGAGTTCCCGTCTAGTGGCGTCCCACACTAGGTAACTCCCGACTACCAGCGATGGGCCGTAAGGATAATTCGTCGTCAAGCAAAAACACGTGGGCCGTCACTCCTAGCACTGCCTGACCCCGTCGGTAACAGGACAGTAACGAACACACCTGGGAGGGCCGTAGCCGTAGCCCGACACCCATAGCACAGCAAGCGCGTCCGCTTAACGACTGTACCCAGATGTGACGTGGAGCCGTACCAGGTAGACACCGTGCTGGAACTGAAGACGTTGGCCAACTCTGCTGAACCTGAGTCCCCAGTGTCCCAATCTGCGCCTTGTCTTGTAGACAAGTCTGGCCCGGCGGCCCCCGAGAGGCCTCCCCCTCAAGAGAGGATAGCCCCTCTAGGCCCTCAAGGGCACCCCATAGCAAGAGGAGTCCCTGGAATGCCCGTCGGGGCCAGCATTGGGAGGATGCTGACGCGTTGTGAGTCACCACGTTGCGCCTAGCCTGTCCTGAGTCTGACTTGCTCCCAGGCGCTGGCGGCTGAACAGAAGTGAAGCGCAGAAAACACTCAACCGTGACGAAGAACTCTCGATCGCACTGGCTTCGTAGCAGCTGGTGGCAGTCCACTGTGCCGTTGAAGGAAAAACTAGTGCTCGAAGAAGACTGCATGAGAATACCAGACGATCCGTGTCCTTCTTGCGGAGGTGTACCAGTTAAAGCGCAAAACCAGAGCGCCAGCAAAACTGCGCAGGAGAGACCGTGAGCTGTACCTGGGTGTCTTGTCGTGTAGCTGGAAAGTCGAAGAGAGGAGCGGAACGAGGCCTCAACTCGAAAGCTTCCTTCAGGATACCCAGGTGCAGAAGATGGCCAACCCATGACTGGGGCCGCCCCTTGAATGGCTTGGTGCGGCAGGTCCTTTTGTAAATGTAAAAGCATCGGCAGGAGAAAAGCACTGAGGCACAGTCGACGCGCCTTCCGCTAGTTTCGCCGGAAAGAGAGAACTCGATCCGACTCCCTTCACCCCGCGGAAAGGTGAGAACCCTACCGCTTACCTCTTGCCAAGGTTGTATAACTGCAGACAGAGGCCCGGGAATTGGGACCCGGTAGATCACAGCGACACGCGGCTCCGGGAATAGCTATGGCTCAGTAAAAGGACGGTCCCTTAAGCTTTGCAGAAGGGGCACGTTGCGAGCCTCTAGCGTTGGTACCCAGAGCCTTGTTAGCAAAGCTAAACAGCCTGCTGTGATCCATAGCGGCTACGACATCGACGACGTTAACTGCAACAACAACAACAACAACAACAACAACCGCAGCAAGCAGTAGACAAGCCTGACGTGTCAGAAGAGGGCACCCAACAGACAGGATGACCACCTACAAAATCTCAATACGTCAGCATACGTCAGCACTGACGGCATCGACTGCCAGCAAACTCTGAAGAAGCCCGGAACACCACAAAGAATGAGGATATAGCCAATAGGTAAGCCACACCACACATGAAACCGGAGGTGCGAGCGGTGATGAGAAAACCAAGCAGTCTGCAGCGTTTGCTTGGCTATGTTCATGCTTGCGAACAACAGCTGTGGCCAAGTTTCCCAAAGGCGACGTGGGCGTTCAAACTTCACCGCTGCGATCATTTATTCGCATGCCTCTTCCATTCCGTGGAGGCCTTTCGACATGTACGACCTCATGTGCCTGGCAACTTTGCAACCTGTTGCTCCCAGTCCTTTTCATGAAAGCCTGGCCATCAGTCAATGGAAATCTGACCGAGGTGTAGACCCGCGCAGACCCGTTTCGAGCATGAACCACGGGCTGGAAAAAATCAAGAAAACAGAACCAAGGGAGCCATCATGCGTCTTACAGCCTTGCACCAGAACCCGAAGCCAAACACGGCAACAGTCTGAACGTACATCCTAAGCAGTAAAGGAAATGCGGCACGCCAAATCCGTAAACTCCCAACACCAAGAAAATCCTACATAAAACCCGACCGGCACAAAGCACCTTAATACCAATGCTTGGTAGAGCTAAAGCAGCGAAGCCGAGAACACAGCAAGCAGCAAGCATTATCCTTCAATCCAAAGGCTGAACAGGCACAGGACAATAAATTATCCCAGAGTGAAGGAAAAGCTGCAACGAATCGCGACACGCACGCGCTGCAACAACCATCGAAGTCTGAGAAGGCTCAACACCTGCAGGGAAAGGTGCGACGAGGTAAAACCTGAAAGCAAAAACTGTCCGCAAACCCTTCCTTACCAAAATCTGCGAAGACCGGAGCCCCAAAAGGAAAGGAAGCAAAGACATGTCATTCCCAAGCCTCAGATAGCGCGAACTTCACCCGATCATGGCACAAACAGAATGCAAACCCAGTGTCTGAAGCAATAGATGGCAGGAGTGCTTAAAAAAACTGACGGATTGAA